CGCAGGACCTGCGACATCCTGTTCAGCGTCCGCTGAGCCCGGCGGGTAGTAGATCACGTCACCAACTCCTCCACCATCGTCGTCGTCATCATGATGGTCGGCTGCACCTGCTGCGTGTGCAGCCGCGGGCCTGTTTCTGCCTGCATCAGAATCAGAATCGACGTCGTCGGCTGTCAGTCTCCGTAGCCTCTGCATCAGTTCGTCTCGAAAGTGGGAGTGGCCAGGATCCACAGCCTCATCATCGCCTTCTTCCGCCTGGCATGCTTCCAAGTCGAACTCCTCCTCCTGATCGCCCTCAACAGCTTCAGCATCCAATGACAGGTCTGGAGCAAGCTCTTCTTCATCGGCCTGGCCTTCGACAATGTCCTGGTGATCTTCCAAGTCATCAAGCTCCTTTCCTCCATCCACAGAAGATTCACCATCTCCTTTTTCCTCGTTTTGTAATGCCGAAAGCAAGGCCATGTCATCATTTGGCACATGGCCCTCGCTCTTGCCCTGCTGACCCTCATGTACGTCTGCAGGATCCAGCGGGCCCTCGGCCTTGCGTTTTCGAGTCCCGCCAGGCGGTCCGGGCCCGCCCGGACCCTTGCCGTGCCCCGTTGAAGGACGCTTCCGAGCCTCATCTTCTGCAGCGGAGCCTTTCCAGAAATCCAACCGAGGCACATCAGCGTACCGGATCACACTAAGCATGCTCGGCCGAGCCTCACTGGGAACTACATGTTCCGGCGGGGAAGTTGATGCATACACTTTGTAGATAGTGCAAGTCCACGCAATCGAAGAATCCACCCGATCTTGGAAGAACTCAAAGCTCCGGTAACACTTCGCTTCCTCGGGCACACGCAGGTTCTTCAAGGCATCGTTGTTCCTTTGAGGATGCGATCCATCGGGCAGGAGCGGAACCCACGACAAAACATAAGATCTGTGGTTCATGTACCCGACGTGAACCCAATGACTCTCAGGCTTTTCGGAAGCTGGCCCCGGCCGCTGCTCATCAACTTTCACTGGCGCAGCATTGTGCAGCAGTTTTTGCACTCGCTTCAGCCAGCCACTCTTGGCACCTGGATGCTCTGCCTCAAGCTTGTCTTCCGAGTCCACTGGGACCGCCCCGTCCTGAACTTCGGAAGACCCATCTGCAGCAGCGACGAGTGCAGTGGGCTCAAACAGCAAGCATAACGATGCACTGTCCAGAAGCAAACGTGCATCGGTCTTCTTGGCCGGGGTCGGCTTCTGCTCGGCGGCATTAGAAGCATCCACCTTCTTGGATTTGCGAGGACGCCGCGGTGTCATTGTCAAAGGCTTCAGGTAGCTGACGAGGTTGCTGTGCATGCGAAAGGCCTGCAAACCCATGCCGGAACAAACACAAAATGCCAGCGCAGAACAACCGCCCAACACTTTTGTTGGCACCGAAGACTGTGGACCAGTGTCATCTGCTCGAATAAAACGCTTTACGGGTACGTTCCGGACCCTTTCACTTCACACAGATATTCGCACTTCACTTTTCCTCGGGCGCACGGCTGTCTTGGGTGCGTCCCTTGAGCCTAAACACCACAGTGGAACATTTGTTCCATACTATACAAAATCATGTGGCAAACAGCTCATCTACAGGATTATAGGGCAACACACTCCTAAGCGAAATGTTTGTTACCCCCTCTTCGTGCATCCTCTTTTGCCATTTCTTTCCTAGAGGTGCAACGAACCCAAAACAGTCGCACTTTCCTCCTTTTGAAACACTCGTTGTGCACTCGCTTTTTGTCGTGGTGTGAGACGAGTGAAACAGAGCTACTCCTACTGGCCGCTCTCAAACTCGTTCACTTCTTTGGCCTTTCAGCCTCAAAAGAACTCGTGGTGGCCCAAAAGCCACAAACTCTTCAAACTCTTTAAACTCTCTCCTCGTGAAGAAACTCTTCGGCTTCTCGTGGTGCAGTTGTCGTACAACTTTCAGAAAACTCTTTCCTCATTTGGGAACGAAGTTCCCCCTCTGGCTTTTCAGCCTTCAGATTCCCTTTTTCTTTATAGACCTCCGGTTTGGTCTTTCTTTCTTCTCTTTTCCTTTTCTCCTTTAGCCGCTCTTTTGCTGGGCTTTCTTTCCTTTGCCCTTCTCCGAGTTGTCTGTGCGGTACTTTTTCTTGTTTGTCTCCAACCTGTTCGCGTATGCTCTTCGAATTATCAATTCGTTCTTCTTGTACCAGGATTGGAACTGTTCCTTACTCATTTCTTCCCTTTGCATCTTTGGGGCATACTGCCCTGAGGCAGTATAATTGTAATCAGCATCCCAACACGTTTCGGAACCATGTCCGAAACGTGAACATACCGCGCAAACCATTGGCTGGCTTTGCGCATCAGGATCTTCGTTGATCCGGCTTTCCTCTTTAAACACTTGGAGCTCATCTTCGAGGGCCTTGTTGTTCTTTCCAAGCTCCTTGATAGTCTCGCGCATTTTCTTGCGCTCCTCTTTCATCTTCTCTGCATCCTCATTCGATGGGCCTTGCGTCGACCCAGCACTGCTTTTGCGCTTTTTCAGCTTTCTCAATTCTTCATTCAATTCTCCAATCTCTTTGTCCTTTGACTCTTTTAGCTCCTTGATCTCTTTATCCTTTTTGTCTATCTCCTCCTTGATCTCCTTTTCTTTCGTTTCTTGGAGCTCTTTAATCTCTTTGATCCTCTTGCTCTCCATCTCTTTCTGCAGGGCGGACTCTGCGTCCATTATCAATGTAGCCTCATTTTCCTGTTCCTCCTCTTCGGCTCTCAGCTTGTCCAGTTGTTTTTCTATGGACTCTTTGGCAACGAACGCTTCGTCCGCTACCCGCTTCAGCTCTTCCTTCACCTCTATCTCTTTTGCGATCAACTTATCTCTTTCTTCCTCTTTGATCTTCTTCTGTTTTTGCTTGTAAGTATACAAGTCCGAATAAATCGTGAATTTCTTTCGCTTTTCGTCCACTTTCTCCTGCAGAACTCGCATCTGCCCAAGCAGGTCCTGCACTTTCTTCTCCTCCTCCAGAACTGACTTCTTTGCCATTTTGTCCATGATCTCCTTGTATTCATCATCACTGGACTCAGACTCTTTCTTTCTCTTTTCTCCTTTCTTTTTCTCTTCCTCTTTTTCGGAGCTTTGCTCTTCCTCCTCTTTCTCCGAACTCACTTTCTCCTCGCTTTCGGAGGCTTCTTGCTCCTCCTCTTCTTTCTCTTTCTTTTTCTCTTCTTCTTCTTTTGTTTCCTTCGACTTCTCTGCGGCTTCATTTGCCCTTTCCTTCTGGCCCCTTCGCCTCTCGGAAGCATCCAAGGCTTTCTGCCTCAGTTCGCTCACTCTATCTTCCATAACCTGTGCCTGGCTTCCTTCGGCACTTCCTTTGCTTCCCTGTGCCTCTCCAGCCAATTCCTCGGCTGTTTTCTTGAACTCTTCAGGCACTTTAACCTCCGTCTTTGCAGCTTCTGACGGGGCCGCCTCTTTAGGCTCATACTTTTGGTTGAGGCGTTGCACTTCGGGCCATAGGGCATCCAGGGTTAATCTCCTCTCTCGCTCCTTTTTGAGCTCTCTTTCGCAGAGGGTTACGGACTCTATGCTTTGGCATTCGTCACTGATCATTGTCTTGAGGGCCGCGTCGTCGGCCATCTTTTTCACTTCTTCTTTTTCTTCTACTTCTTTTCTCCTCACTTCTTTTCTTTTCACTTCCTCTCTTTTCACTTTCTTCCTTGAGTCAAAAACGGCAGCGGCGGAACAAAACATGCATTCAACACTTCCAACCAGACTCTTCCACAAGCTACCGTTGCAAGCCATGATAACAACCAGTGTCATCATCATCACCATCATCACCAAACCAAGGTTTCCACCTTCACTGCTTCTACTGCTTTGATCTCTTAGTCCATCACACTGCTGAACCATCATCATCATCACAAGTCTTCTCAGATACTTCGTAGGGATCTTGAAGTCACTTGCTATCCTGACCTCTTCACTCTCTTCTCCAGTTTTCACACCGATTCTCTCCAAACACTTCACAACAGCGTTCCTCGACAAAGCCTTTGTTCCTACATCTGCAGGGTTCTCCTTTCCAGATATCGCTTTCACTTGAAGACCTACAGAAGTAAGCCTTTGAACCCAAAGCAGTCCTGCATCAATGTGCCTCGTTCTTCCTAGGCCTTTCTTCATGAGAATAGACCTAGCACTGCTAGAATCCATCCTAATCACCATCTCCGGCCTAATCCCTAGAACTCTGTGCAGCAGGTTCTGTAGAAAAACTCCTTCGCTCAAACCTCCAACAGCTGCCACCAGTTCGCTTTCGCAGCTGCTCAAAGCCGTCGCTTTTTGCTTTCTCGCGTGAAAGTAAACGATGTTACTGTTCACGAAAATCAACACGCAGCTCGTTGACTGCCTATTCTCACGATCGGTCGCCCAGTCGGCGTCGGTCACTACCTCGATCAAACTCTTTGCCGTAAAAACATCTTTGTAGGCATTCTCAGTTCTCTTATCACTTGGATCTAGAAAACTCTTTCCAGGATATGCCTCTTTGTGTTCTATCACGTAGTGGGCTGTCGCTTTTACATACTTTGCCACGTGCCTAAGCACTGCTAAGTCTCCTCGCGTTGGCGCTGCCAACTTCCCAGACAACCACTTCGTAGCGAATCCCAAATCAGGTCTCTCCGGTGTCATATACAATAGGATTCCTACACAGGATCTATACAGATGATGTTCATCTGCATCCAAGGGCGTATCGTCCTTCAACGATCTTCCGTAATCCATTGGAAACGGCAACTTCTTCGGCAGGGCTTTTCCCAAACCTAAAATCTCTTCCAACTTCTCAAGATACTTGCCGTCCATCCTGATCTCAATTCCTTCTTTCGTTCCTAAGAACGTCCTCTTCAAGAAAGTACACTTTCCTTCTCCAACCTTCACTGGTCCTTCCAGCTTTATCTTCAACTTGTGCTTCAGCAGCAGATCAACCACTGCTTGATTCTCCTTTGGTTTTCCAAACACCTCCAAATCATCCACATGTGTACTCATCAGCGTTCCACCTTCTCCTGGGGTCTCTGAAAACTTGTAGAAGAAACTTGGTAACCCCACATCGGAAACCATCTTCTCTTTCTCCAGGATTTCTCGTAAGTGCTCAAACCAATCACTGCTTCCTGTTCGTTGTCCCGGCAGGGTGTACTGCAGCTGGTACCACTTTCCTCCTAAACTCACAACCGTGTACTCCTTCTGTGGCACCTGAAGGTACGCGTCCGAAATGTCTATCGAGATCATCTCGTAGTCTCTTGAACTCGCACACAAAGCTGATAACAGCTTGATGCTCGAACCAATACTCGTTGGTGAGTATAACGCTGAGAGATCGTAGTCCGTCAGCCACTTGTACTCCCGCGCCACTAGGCGGGCTCTCCTCTTCCATTGGAGGTCCCTATGCCTCCAATCCAACACGTACTTTGTACTGAGTCTCTTTGGTTCTTCTCCATTCGGTCCTTTCTTCAACTCTCCATTCTCATCCAGTTTCACTTCTTTGAGAACTTTCATCTCCAATAGTCTCTCGATTTCTGTTCTCTCTGCTTTCAGGTCCACCTTTGCCAAATCTTCATCTTCCAACTTTGGTGGCCCATCATCATACTCGTGAGACCAAGTAACCGTTAGGTCCTCTTCTGTCTCACACACCTTCTCGTTCCACTTGCTCTGGAACTCTCGACTTTCTTCCAGAAACAACTGTGTCTCGTCGAGATCAACATACTCATCTCCATGCTCTTCGGGATCTTCGCTCTTGGCGAATCTCCGAATGTGGTATTCCACTCGTGCCGCGCTTCCTCGTGCTTCGTCTCCAAGTCTCGGCACCTTTTCAACTCTTTCTTCTACCTCTCCAGTTCCTTCGTCTACTCTTGGTTCTTTCTTTGGTGAACCTTCTCCTTCTTCTTCTGCATTCCTCTTTGCAACTTCTCTTTGAAACTCTTCCAACGTCATTTCATCGGGCACCAATTCATCTTCTGCTTTTCTCTTTGTTCTCACTTCTCCTGGATCATCGTCATCGTCATCGCTCTCGTCGTCCATTGCTTCTGGCGTTGCTCCAGATAGCGACGAACTCTTGCTAGAAGAACTTGAGCTTCCTTGGCGGTCGCTCGGCGGCGAAGGCTCGCTTCTCTTTTCTTCTTCCACTCTTTTATCAGCTTCCACCGCCAATCTTGGCAGTCCTGGCCCATCATCAATAGGCACAATTCTTTTCTTCTTAAACCTCAAAGCCTTCAGCTGATGATCCCATGGAGCTCCAACCGAAAGTTGCAAAAGCTCCGGCTGATATGCCTCAGCACATCTTCTCATTGTCCTCGCTTTGATCACTCCTCTACCTGTGCCAATCAAGTTCAGATTGCTCGCGTAGTCCTTTCCAAGAAAGACTCCTTTCTCCCAAGGTTCTCCTTTCTCCTTGGTCTTTGGCACTGCTTTTCCAAACACTGCTGACCCGAACGGGGCCAACTTGCCTTTGTACGTTCGGTCCACTGTCGCTTCAAACGCAGTTCTGCCATCTCTTCCAACATGAAACCTGTTGTGCAGCCATGCTGCATGTCTGTACGCCCAGCTATAAAGCGGGACATCAGATCCGATGGCCGTTCCACTTCGTTGCTCAACCGTCGCCAACAACGTCTTTGCAAGGTTCCTCACAGTTTGGATATACCTTTCCACAGGCAACCCTTGATGCTCATCGGGCGTGGCATCTTGCAACTCCGTCTTCAAACCTTGTCTTGTTCTTGCCACTTGAACTCCTCTCCTGATGGCAATCATCACTGGCTCGGTGTCCGTTCTAATCACCACTTCAGCGTAACCCAAAAGGGCTAACACTCTTACCACTTCACTCACTGCGTGGTTTATCACTGCATCTCCTCCTTTCGTTGGCACCGCAATAGCTATCAGGAACTTCGTGTCGTTGTCAACACCCGCAAGCTGAATAGCAAGCGGATCTCTCTCCTTTTCGTCTCCTTGTGTTCCTGTGAACATAAAGTCCAAGCTAAACACGCGCCGTTGCGCTTTCTCTTTCGTCTCTTCAAAGTTGTCTTCTCTGCTCTTTGCTGCCTGGCATGCTTCACACCAGGGCGCTCTCGGCAAATGCGTTAACTCATGTGCTTCAATCTCTTCCGGGCTCGGCAAAGCAGGCAGAGCCTCTGGAATCGGCTCTCTCTCAAACTCCTTTCTGATATCCTCAGAGATTTGGGCTTGCGCTTTCACTTTGCTCAGCGCAACCTCTTTCTTCAATCTTTTCCACAAAATCTCTTTCGATCCATTCTTCGAGATATGCAAATACTTGCACGCCGCTTTCATCTCCTTCAACTCACTCTGGCGTGTCAACTTCATTGGTCCAATCACCATCACTTCTTCCTCATCTTCACCAATCACTGGAACTCCTCTCTTCGGTTCCTCTTTCTCACTTTCCTTTTTGTCTTTTGAACTTGAGGAGGTTCCTGTGACCTCCATTGGCACTCCTTCTTGTGCCAGTTCTCTTTCAAGCTCTTCCAAATTCGTGAGCAACCCATAGTCGCTCGGTTCCTTCAATCCTTTTTCCAACAAGGTGACCATCACCTCAAACCTTGCTTGAGGACTTGCCCCAAGTTGCACTCTTTCGCGATCCTTCCAGATCTCCGTACACTCAAAGAAATCCATACTCTTCCAATCCACTTCATTCAACACTCTTTCTCCACTTCTTTTCATCTTTCCTAGCAAGGTTGTCCTATAAGGAAAATAATCGCCTTCATCTCCTGCTCCCTCATAGAGTCTATTAGGGAACTGACCCGTTGGGTCAAACGTCTTCCCCATAAACCAATCAAACCTTGCAGGCGTGCCGTCATTTAGCACAAACCAACCATCCTCATCTTCTTTGCTCTTCAACTCATTCTTCAGTTCTCGCTCCAGCCTCACAGGCTGCACTGTCATCTCTTCTCCTTCAAGTCTCCGTATACACATCCTCGCCATTGAGGAATTCCTTTTGAAGTATATCGGTATCCGAACACTTCCTTTCTTCAACCACAATCTTCCATCTTCATTCACCGTACCCCAACCTAGCTTCCACATCTTTCCTACCGCAAACAAAGGTTGGGTGACATTGCCGCAAACAGCACTGTCAGTGATCTTCAACTTCTTTCCAGACTCCTTCGTGAAAACAAACGTCACATTCTGCCTCACAGGCAGCGTTGGGATCACTTTCCCTTGCGCATCTTTCAGATGATACTCAAAGTTCGAAGTTTCTCCGACTTCTTCTGCCCAATCCATAGGCAACACATGGCAGTCAGCTCCACTGTCGAGCACTACCTCACATGCATCCACTTCTCTTGCTGTTCTTCTCACATCATCTCCTTCAGAAACCATTCTCACACTTCTTTCAACTTCTGTTTCCAAGAACCACCATCCTTGATACCACTCCATCAAACCATCAGTCGGTTCTTCCTCGATCTCTTCCACTTCATCGCTCGAAGAGATATCAAACTCCTCGACTCTTCTCAGCTCTCCTTGAACCAAACCTTCAAACTCCTGACACAATCTCACAAAGTTGAGCTCTTCATCCTCATCGTTCCACTCTTGTGTCATCTCTACTCTTCTTGCTTGGCGCGCTGCTTCAGCTGTGATCTGCCTCACTTGACCAGTCTCATTCTTCGTAGGAGGGGCATTGCTAGAGGAACTCTTCTCGTGATCTCCTTGATGGGTTCCTTCCTCTTCTACCTGTCTCACTTTGCCTTTACCTCCTTTTCCTTTTCCTTGATTCTGCCAGCAATCAGCTGCTTTGTGTCCTGTCTTTCCGCATATGTGGCACTCTCCTATGAACTTTCCTTTCCCGTAGCCACCAGCGTCCACTGCTCGTGCATTTCTATAACCACCTTTTCCTTTTCCTTTGTTGTCGTATCCTTTTCCTTTTCCTTTTCCTTTGTTGTCGTATCCTTTTCCTTTTCCTTTTCCTTTGTTGTTGTATCCTTTTCCTCCTTTTCCTTTGTTGTCGTGACCTTTTCCTTTTCCTTTATCTTTTCCTTTTCCTTTCACTCGATCAATATCCATTGGTTGTGGCCCATTGTAGGGTGTACTCTTCGTTGCGCTTTCCATGTTGAAAGACTGCAAAATGTTCTCCGCATTCCACGATTGGGTACTTCTTTCATACTCAAGCAACTTCTTCCTGATGTCTGCGTACTTCGTCGTAGGGGTCAATCCTATCAGGATATGCTTCCTCAACTCATTTGGCAAACCTTTGAGTACTGTTCCGATTTTCAAATTCTCATCGTAGGGTTTTCCTTCGGACAGTTTTTCGTATTCTGCCACCAGTTTTTCGTAGGTAAGCAGATAGTCTAAGATAGAAGTCCCCTTCGTCATCTGGGGAAAGCTCACTAGAGCTTGAGCCATTGCCAGCCCTCTTGTTCGGCTTGACGGCTCCAACTCTTCAAACAGTCTCCTCCAGACAGAATATCCATCTGGACTTCCTTCTGACTTCAATAACTTCAATGGCCTGTTCCTAAGATACGAGGCCAAAATCGCATACAGCTTTGTACTTCGCTCTCTTTCACCAACTGTATAATCTGCTGGATTTGGTGGTGCCAGCTCCACTTTCTTCAACTCTTCTGCATAAGTGGGATCAATGAATCCCACAAACACTTTGAAACTGAAACTCCAATCTGGCCACTGTGAAACTTCCTCCTCCAAATTCTTTGGAGCGAACACATCCGGACTCTTCACCAGCTTAGCTGCAGAGTCGTAACTTCTGGTACTTCCTGTACCTGCAGCACTTGCCAAAGCTTGCGCTGCTGCCGACAGGTTCCCTATCAGGGCCTGAAGGGATCCTCCTGCAACTCCATCTGGTGCAGGCATCGCCATTGGCGTATCACTTGGTGTATCTCCTCCTTGACCACCGTGACCAGGGGACACAGGCAAATCCGCGTCTCCAGCTGGACTTGGTGTGGCCATTCAACTTTCCTTTCTTTCACTTTCCGTGACACTGGGGCCCAAGGCTCGTTTCTCCTTGTATTGGGCTCTTCTTCAGCCGAAGGTCCTGGCCTTCAGCTCCGCTACCATAAAACGCTTTACGGGTACGTTCCGGACCCTTTCACTTCACACAGATATTCGCACTTCACTTTTCCTCGGGCGCACGGCTGTCTTGGGTGCGTCCCTTGAGCCTAAACACCACAGTGGAACATTTGTTCCATACTATACAAAATCATGTGGCAAACAGCTCATCTACAGGATTATAGGGCAACACACTCCTAAGCGAAATGTTTGTTATCGAAGCATCTGGCATCTGCTGAACCAGTCACTTTCTAAGGCAGCAAGCAAACCTTCACGGGATGTTCTCGTACTCTTTGACTCGAAGATGTCCTGGGAATGGGAAGCAATGCAGCGGATGTTGCTTCCCAGACGTACATAGACACAGACAAAGCCCGAACATTGATACGGCGCTAATTATTATTAGCTACTTACCAACCGCTGCTTGCAGCAAACGTAAAACGTAAGAGTTCTAGGCCTTATACTTGGATATAACTACACACCCCAATAACTCATACCTAACAAATTTGCTCGATTACTAGAATCCAATGGTTCTAATCATCCGACTAGACACTAATTACTACAATCTAGTTACTAGTTGCTAGATTCTCGGTCCTAGGTCCTAGGTCCTAGGTGGTCCTAGGTCTTGCTGGTAGTTCCTAAGTCCTGGGTCCTAGGTTCGCTGCTGCATTGTGGACTTGTAGACTTGTAGAACTATAGAACAAAACAAACCTCATTCAACCATTAACCTGACAGTGCACGTCACCGAACCGTGTCCTTGACGATCACCTCCGCTGTCGGGGAGAAAACGGCCACCGCCGGTTGACCTGGAACACAAAGGAAGTCGGAGTTGGCGGATGCAAGCAGCAAGGCCTTCTCGGTGTCAGTCTGCGACGTGTGCGGTCTGCTGAGGCTCTGGAAGCTGGGCCCTGTGGCGACTTCAGCCGACTTGGCACAGATTTCGGCTCCCTGCGAGTTTTCCAAAGCGTTTGTTGCCATTGCAGCTTGCCGACTCTCCCGCAGGAGTCGACGCAGATCATCCTCGACACCGAGAATTGCCGGAGCTTCGGCACAGCGAGCAGCACGGAAACCTCCATCAGCATCATCATCATCGTCATCCGCAGCCTGCAGAGATTCAAGCAAAGACTTCGGGAGCCGGGACACATCAAAATCAAATGCCGGACGTCTTGGTTGACTGCTTTGGCTTGCATTCTGCTGCCGCTGCTGCGCATCCTGCACAACTCGAGCATGAGCCAAATCACCAAGGTTCTTAAGCACAGCAAAGGCCTCAGGGTCGTTTTGCTGGAGATCATGGTACTCTTTGGCCCGCTGCGTCGATTGCAGAGACGTGAACCTCCGACCCTGTGAACGGATGCGCATGTATGCACGCCACGCCCCACCACCCTGCACTTGCTTACGCTCTTTCCTTTGCCGGGACTTTGCAAGGTTCGCCGTGACACTCGGACGAAGCCCGCGAAAGTACTCCTGTCGCTGCTTGTCGAGTGCACAGTGCCGCATCAGGCACTCGCTTGCCACATCCGAGTGGGCCGGTCGCCAGGTGTGGAACGATCTGGCCATGACTCTGCGGCGGATCTGGCTGAAACCACGTTCAACCTGAAGTGTGTCAATGTCATACTCCCTTGCAATGCATTCCAGCATAGCCGAAGCCTCCTCCGATGCCAGAGCCCCTTCATCGGCAAAGCAGGCTCGAAAGCTCTTGGAGATGTCATCCAGCAGACACTCCTTCAGATGTGCAAAAGCAAGAACGGCGGCATCTTTCTCGGAGCCAGCCACCAGCACTTTGAACAGCATCACCAGCGACGATGAGCGATTGCACAGGAGAGTCTGATGCAAGGAAGCATATGCCCGCGTCAGCATGCGGGTGGCCAAGCCACGAGTGGCTGTGGTCATGCCCTGGAAAGGCAAAGCCTTCATTACAGACTGATATGCTGTGTTCATGTCACGATGGAACTCTGGCACCACTTCCCCGAAGAACAATTCTGTGAGTCGAAACTTCCTGTCACCCCCACGCACAGACGCAAGCAGCTGATCCTTCACAAACTTCTCGGCGGACAACCGGAAAAGCGCATGCAACACCTTGATCACTGGCTGCATGGAAATTCGCATCACAATCAAGACGTTGCCAGGGTTGCAAAGAGACCACACAATGGCCTTTCGCTTGTTCGCACGGTTCCAAGTTTTCCAGTCAAGTGTGGTGGCATCCTGCGCGCCTTCATCCACAGCAGCACCCATACCAGCCATATCATCGACAACTTCCTCAGCATCTTGGGTAACTGGTACTGCCGCAGCAGCAGCAGCAGCAGAAGCAGCCGCACTGGCAGCATCAGCAGCAGGCCCATCCAAAATGCTGGAAGACACAATCCTCGATGCAATCGCGGACCAGCCCGGCGAGGTCCGTGTTGTCATGTGTCTGGGCGTCGGTGTGACAACCGACGACCATCTCTGGAACAGCTCTTTGTGCAAACCATGGGTGTTGGCAAGCAGCGCATGCCAGCTGATGGCCACCTCGCCACCTAACCACTTGCTGCGGTTAAAAAATGGTGCTGCCGAGCCCCCGAGCAGTCCCCACACCCCGAAGGAGCAGAACAATGGTAGCATGGTGTCACGGTTGCAGCTGGGGTTCATGGTCATGTGAACGACTCGGCTGTCATCCTGAACGTTTCCATTGAACAATGCATCAAGGATGCAACGCTGCTTCGAATGCTTCAGCTTCTCGGCACCTGACAGTGGAAGCAGGAGCTCGTACAAGCTGTGCCGATGCTCAACCAATTGCGGATTCCCATGAAGAACGACCAACCGTTCCTCGAAAATCTGCGACAAGATGGCTTTCAGCTGCCCGTGAGTCCCGGCGGCTTGCATGGAAATACTTGCTGAAAGCATCCCAGACACGTGAGCTGACGTAACTTCAAACTGTCTGGATTGTGCATCGGCCGCTTTGTGCATGCTGCAATGAGACTGGGCAAATGTCCAGGACTCATGCTCTGCTTGCAGCTTCTTTTCCACGGCCAAGTTGCTCGAGTGGCGGTCCGTGCAAGACAACATCAATCTCATTTTGAAAAACGAGCTGAAGTCCTCAGGGATGGGGAGGTCGGCAATGCAAGCATTTTGCGAAGCCTTCATGTTCTGCGCAGAAACAGTTTCCACCACATGCAAGCGATGCGGAAGAGAACCCGTCAGGGCCTGGTATACAAACGACTTACCGTCCTCGCTCGGACGACGAAGCACCATGAAAAGTCGGTGGAAGGTCGACACAAGCTTGGCCCGGGAACCAGCGGATTCAGTCTGCTGCTGCTGGCGACGTCTCCGGTCTAGTCCGAGCAACTCTCCGGACTCATCGACTCGCACAGTGAACGGAGACTCGTCATATTTGTGCACGCGAGCAATCAGCAAACCCTCACATTCACCAGCAGCCAGTCGGGCACCAATCCTGTGAAGCAAGCGAGACCACTGAATACGCTGACCATGCAAAAGAGCAGAGGCACACTGCTTGAATTTGCGGCAAACGGTGTGTGTGGAAATGCCCATAGCCTGCCCTAAACACAGCTTGCTGTAAAGATGACTGCTGTTCCGCATCATCTGCACAAGCATATTCGAGTCCTGCGAGTCCGCCTGTTGGGCTTCCTCATCCGGCGGATGCTCCTGCTGCCGAGGCTGCTGCTGCTGCTGCTGCCGTTGTCGATACTGCAACACAAAGGATTCAATCCAGCTTGTTAAAGCAGCAGTGCCTGCGTCCCGAAAGGCCTCCAACGAAAAACGTAACCTTTCCTCTGGCACAGAAGCGAGGAGCACAGGCTCCTCTGCTTGGATCATCGTCTCATCCGCTCCCTCATCCAGTTCTTCTTGCAGGGCCTCCTGCTGCAATGCAGCCGCCCTTACAGTGACACTGCCACGAGGTCTGCCAGGCCTGCGCGAAACAGAAGACACAGGCCGATCGCGGACTGTACCCTGGGACTCGCTCGATGCAGGAGCTTGACACGATTCTGATTGCAAGTTTTCATCTTCCCCGAGACCAAGTCGAGAAGCGAGCCTGGCCCACCCAGACATATGTGTCTCGCATCTCACAATGAGCAAAGCATGTAGCTGCAGCTGTTGCGTGAGCTCGATGCCATCTGACACCCGGAGATACCTTCGGCCAGCCTATGCCTAACACAAATAGCTCGGAATGCCAAGTATCACAGTTGCCCAAACAACTTGCGAGCTGCTGGCGACTTCTGAGACTCTAGCTAGCAACTCTGGCAGCTTAGCATCAATAATGTCTAAGTCTGAGCCTAAGCCTTAGCGTGAAGGCGGCCGGTTGACAAACTCATGTTTGGAAGGAGCTTTCTTTGCATGTGACGGAACCAGGCGTGCCAGTCGATATCGTCGAGCATGCTGAACCTCTTCTCTGGCCAGAATGCGGCGAAACAAGAACACTCCACAAATCCAAACTCTATTGACTCTCTAGTGATCTAGTGGTTAGAGACTCTAGAAAGGTAATCTTTGCACGTGACTTGACCCATCGGTGAGCCTATAATACTACAAGTGGCTGCAAGGGGCTGCCTAGTGGCTTACATCCCGTGAAGCACAACGTGCAAAGCCCTGCAAACAAAGCACCGTCTGGCCCAGAGGCTTTGTTGGGCAGTGCAAATCGGACTGACTTCGGTGAGCGACTTGAATATAAATCTAGTCAATCTAGTCATCTAGTCATATGTGTACGGGGGGTTCCCCGGTACATGTCGTGCTTCACACCAGTGCCATGCCAAGCCAGCACATGAGCAACAACACGCTGAATAATCATGCCCGGCAGGCCGGCTACGTGACTGCATCACCCAGTCCGACAGATCGAGGTTCAGCGTCACCGTGTGATAGCCGACGCCGCCGGAGTCACTCAATTCCCGAAGCTGGCGCAGGAACCTAGGAAGCAGCAAACACAGACCAGCCACAGAGACACGTACTGTAACTGTACAGAAAGGGTGTATCGACACTGTAATCATTGTAGTGATTGTAGTGTAGTGCCGACAAAGGGGGTCTACAAGGTTCCGCGGGATTCCGCAGTCTGCAGTGCCCACCATAGTTTCGAACAAAGCGGCATCTGTTTACAGAGAGAAGACTCCGAGTGATCACGTGCTGCATTCCGTGATTCTGGGCTGAACTAACTAACTAAATATGCGATAATCTTAGACTCTTAGAGTCGAGCTCTCAAACCCTAGCCCAAGCCCCGAAGGTCCCAAATCCCGTACTCCCTCTTCCCTCCCTGCACCTGCTGTTGAATTTAGTACTGCGCCGTTGCTTTCACTGAAGGTTCAACACTTTTCTCGCAGGAATGCCATGATACTGGCGTTGGCAAGAGAAGTGCTCTGACGCAGGCCAGCTCTATGGCAAAAGCAGTGGTTGAATCTATTGAATCTGCTATCTGTTTACGTAACGACGTAATGTTTGTAATCTATTGAATCAGCTAAGCAGCTAAGCTTTTTGGCATCAGGAAGCATAGTCGCTGAACCGCCAACATCTCGAGGACTCTGCGACTACGATTCTAGCAAACTCTAGCAACTCTAACAGCACTCTAGGACGAGGTAGAGAGCAATGTAAATCTAGCAGAGCGGAACAACTCTGAAATGCCATGTGGTCGTCAGGAAAACAGCCCGGAGGATGTCCTCGGGACATCACTGGGCATGAGGGCGGCGACCTGCCACAGGAGGAGCTTCAAGGCTTTGCAGATGATGGGAGCTCGAATCTAGAACCTAGGACCTAGGACATTTACCGAAGAAGAGGTTCAGGGGCTTCAGAGTGTGGGCTTAAGGAAGCACGGAGTCCGGCTCGAAGGTTTCAGTCTTTTAGGGTGTTCACCGAAAGAGGTGTTGGGTCTTGGCATTGACGTTTCAGGCTTCAGGGTTTGAGGGGTTGGAGTTCGGGCTGGGTTGATAGTATAGTTTTCAGGTTTAAGTCTCCGGAGGTCGTAGGTATTTTCAGTGACGGCCTTCGTGCTTTGGGATTAGACTGTAGTTACTACACTGCTACAGTCTGAAGAACTTCGCAAAGGATTACTTCCAATCAAGCACGTCGGTGTCAACAACATTATCCAAAAAAAGCATTCCGAAGCCTAGGCTCTAGACCGTCAGCTGACCTCTCAGCCCGGAGCACTTGACAGCTGAAGCCAAAAAGCACCTAGTCGCCGCTCGCCACTGGCATCGTCTCTACCTAGACTCTACCTGCTTCGTCATGTGTTGTGTTATTGCAATCAGGAAAATTTTCTGGGTCAGACTGAAATCACGTTGATCCAAGCGGGGCCTCAGCATGACTGGCTCATTGCTCGCATGCCTTGGTTGAGGCACACATGGAGGGTATGATGTCATAAGCGCAGACACAGATTTCCTTCTGTAGCCGAGCCACGCTTCATGAGTCTACGGTCTAACCCCAGGGTCTAGAGTCTAGAGTCTTTTTTCGTTTGAAAGCCTTAAAGCCCAGAGAGCGAGGGAGAGACAGAGAGAGAGTGTGATATATGTATATATATATATGTATATGTATATTGTATATACATATAAGACAGAGAAAGAGAGAAAGAGAGAAGAGAGACAGAGGACTGGCTGCGGCCTCTCGCAAAAACTGCCGGCAACGATTCAAGTAAGGAACACCAGGGCACCGAGCGGCCAAGGCAGCATTGTCGCGATCTGCCCACAGCAGTCAGCACCTGCGAAGCAGAAGTGTGGAGTCTAGGGCAGAGCCGTGCGTGTTTCGGGATTTGGGACCTAAGCCCTAAGCCCTACTAAACCCCTAAGCCCTTAGGGATAAGATGTACAGCGGACAGATGTAAAGGCAAGCGCTACCCGACCCCTAAGCGGACAGATGTAAAGGCAAGCGCTACCCGACCCCTAAAATTAAAAGTCCCGAGTTGCGAGAGCCCAAACTTACTTTGAAGTATCGCATCAAAGAACCTTGTCTGGCATGTCCTGATTCCCATAGACCCAGCCCCAAAGACGCTAAAAAACAATTCCCACACCCACGTAATTATATCAGAAACCACAGCCCCAAACACGCAGAAAAAGAATTCCCACACCCACCTGACCTAGCTAACCTTCCCGCGCAACTATAATATAATTGCATCAGAAACTTCAGCCCCAAAAATGCAGGAAAAGACTTCCCACACCCACGTAACTGGACCTAACTACCCTTGTCAGGAAGAATGCCCAAACCCATCTGACTATAATTCCTACGCAATTAAACCAGAAACCTCAGCCCCAGAAACCGCAGAGAAAGAATTCCCACACCCACCTAACTACGCTTCCCGCGTAATTATATCAGAAACCTCAGCCACCAACAAGCGGAGGAAGAATTCACACACACACACACACCTAACTTACCTTCGCACCTGATTTTATCCGAAACCGTGATCATTTTCGAAAAAAAAAAGGCATGTATTATCGCAAATGGAGACAGCATGTGAAAACAGAAAATCGCACAACCGGCCGGGCTAGGCGGCTAGCCCACAAACACACGGTCCTAGGTCCTAGGTCAGGTTTACATAACCCCGATGATGTAGACTTCTGCGCAGGCACAGGCACGGCAGACACGTGGTATTGCACGTGAAACCGCAATCAAGGCAAAATCCAAGACCCTAAACCAATAAAACCCCTAGACTGCACATGTGTAACTCTGCAGGCTGGGCGGCTGGGAGTTCTGATTAACGAGGCCTGCGGCAAGCACGGCGAGAGAATGATCATCTTCATCGCCAACTGAGGCCTTGCAGCAGGTACTGCCAACACCCAACGACATGGCTCACTCCAGTTTCCAACGCCGAAACCGTGCGCTGACGAGTACAAGGGTGGCCTTTTGGGTTTTAAGTGGGGTTTCGTACAAATTGGGTCCCGGGGCCTACAAGAGTGTCTAGATCCAACTACTAGTCACACTAGTTACTACTTGGGTCGATACAGAAATCCTGATCATGTGCTGAAGCTCCAAGATTGACAAGGCCAAACGACCTGACTGAGGCTTCCAGCCAACGGCTTAACCCGATCTTCCGACGCAAGCCTTTCACCCACATAAATAGCTAAGAGCCCAAACCCTCACTGCAATCTACAACAAGACTCTTCATGGGTGAGCTTAACAAGTTGGCGGAGGTCAAGGCTCCAAGTTGACTACATCAACCAACCCCTTCCGAATTCCATAACCCCAGACAGTGCCAAGGACCTGGATGATGATGAGCACGAGGACACCAGGAGCCAGGAGCCCGCAACACCTCCAGTTCACAGGTCCAATTAAACATGGACTCAGACGTGGAAGCAGTTTGTTAAGATGGTGCCGAACAGGCCGCACGTCACTAAGAGAGAAAGAGAGAGAGCGAGATAGACAGAGAGAGAGACAGAGTCAGAGTGAGTGAGCGAGCGAGTGAGAAAGACAGACAGAGAACAGAGAGAGAGTCACATGACACACACTTGCGGACTTAGCGTCACTACGCGGCAAAGCCCCTTGCAGCTCCAAGACATCGGACTGAACACGAATCTACCACGCACCGTGTTGGCAATTCTGCAGAACGTGTTCCGGGGTCCGCACCACCAAGAAAACAGATGTCGATGTAGCCAACATAGCCGGTAGCCATCAGTCACGCAATGGGAATTAGCGCACGGGTGCTCGGGGCTTCGGCATTAATTAGTGAGGCCTCGCTTTGACCGGGGTCCGGGTTTGGGATTTGGGCAGCAATATATAGTGGCATGGTCGGTGACGTCAGCCGCTCCTGCTCCCTCGCTCTCTCTCGCGCTGACTAAAACGGCCTATCCAGAAGGCCCAACAAGCTGCAGAGAGTTCAGAGCCCGAGGCCTCTATCTTCGGAAAAGATGGTGGGGTGCTGGGGGTGGTGGGGGTGGCTATGCAACCTAGTTCAAGCCCGCGACCACAGCTAGGGCGACACACCCCGCGACCCTGACCTATCCTAGACTCGTCCCTGGAGCGACACAGACCTAACCTAATCTGGGCTATACAGACCACGACTCTACGTAAGGTAGAGTCTAGTAGTCTACTCGAGTCTACTCCCTATAATAGGCCCTATAATCTTTGTCACCAGGCTACGTCTAACCGTCTGAGTCTTACTCTGATGGTTCAAAGCTTCCTCCGAGCAGCATTTTGTGTGGGCTGTCCTCGGTGGTCTTGTCAAAAGGCGACCGAAAACCATCGGTCGTCTCCACGATCATGGTCACCGGAGCAAACTTCTTCAGCAGGTCGAAGACTCCTTCAAACGATAAGGCTGCCTGGCGATGCTGCATGACGGAGTTCTCGTGAAACCTTTTGTGTCGCATCACTGAAAAGGGATTGCAAGGAGCACCTACCACAAGGCATTCTGGAGACGTTGCCACACAGCAGCATGGCGACTCAGGGTGCAGGGCACAACTCTTCCCCTCAAGCTGGTCCGCCAAAGACATGTGCTGGTGCTGAATCCCGGGAATATTCGCGAGCTGGAAGTCCCTGAATTCCGGGTTGATTTCGCTGGTGCCCACGCAAACAAAAGGAATCCCGAGCTCCTGCCAGGCGTATGCTTCCGACACGGGTTGCACAACGAACACAAAAAGAAGGCAGCGGATGTTCTTTCAAACTGTGCTCAATCACCACTTTGCCTATTCACCTATTCTATTCTATCCGAATGATTCTGACGGCAACGGAGGACTCGAGACTGGCATGGTCAATCCTGGCTATCGGCTATCGCACCAGCACGAGCCGCGCTAGCGAATTCAAGCTTGGTACCCTCTGCAACCTTCAACTTGCAACCCCAGCTAACTGAAGTCACCCGCTTGACACTGGAGAGTAGTAGTTCAAGAGGCTCATGCCAGGGTCCGTCAAAGCGAACGGTTGCTCAATCTAACGGAATCTAACGGTTATAACGGCCAAACATGGCTCAAGGATTACGCTAAAACTTGCAGTTCGGGCGGCTGAAGCTAGCAGCTGGGGCAGTTGGGTTGCGTGTCGTGTGGGGTCCCATGCGAACTGCGCTTCAGGCTGGTACCTGGTAACATCTTTGCAGTCCTAGGTGCTAGGTCCTAGGTTTTGTTTGGGTGAGTTCTGACAATACAGCCGGTTAGGTTAGAGCTGCAGGCGCTTAAGAAATTGAATTGCTTTGCTTTCGTTTTGCTCCCCAGTTCCCCATTTTGATCTGGATGACGCAGGCCTTGCCGTGCCTCCAACGAATGCGTGAATAATAGAATTTAATAGAGACATAGACGACATAGGAAAACAAAGGCTAGAATAAGATACTGACCAGCTTGGTTGTTTAGATCAACCCCAGCAAGCACACTGTACCCTGGCAGCCACACCTATCTGACCTATAAAGCTACACCAACCACTCCGAAGACATGGTAAGCCCTGAGTAAATTTTGAGTAAACTCCGACGTCCTGGATTCAAAAGGCCGAACAATGGAATTGATACTACAGTCAGACTATAGTGATTCATGTTTTTGTCATGATGCACAACAGAAGCAGTCCTTTAAGGCAATAGCCTCCGAACACGCCCCACTGCAGGCCGAAAGGAGCCGCATCGGCACCGACCTCTCAGGCACCCTGAGGCCCAGAGCTTCGGTGTGCTGCTTCAGCAGTGTAACCCACCACATCTCGCGCGGTGGCTCCACTGCATTCTCGCCATCGCTTTCCCCTGAGCCATTCGCCAGCGCTTCCGCCACAGCCGTTTGCGACTCACTGCTTTCCTGCGATGCGCACAGCTTCTCCGCCAGCTGGCTCCAGGGCATGACGAACACCGGATCTTTGACGAGACTACTGACTGCTGAGTAGTATCATTATTGAGACTACTGGCAAGCCCACACTGCGTAGGTTCCTTCAGAGGCTGAGCCGATCGCCCTACATCCTACACTGCTGCTAGAAACTGCTTCCCGTGTCTGAATTTGCGTCTACGTCTACGTCAGACCTGAGACGGTAAATGCTACCCGGTACCCTGACCATCTGGATGATACAATCAATCTCTGAAAATCCTCTTGATTCAAAAAATTCTTGCAAAATCGGCGAATGGAAGCATCAGCTGCACATGTACAGTGCGCACATGACTTGACTGCATGTGACGGTTGCTCAACTAGCTAATGAGCGGCGGCAAGGGCCCATGAATGTTGTGTTGCTAAGAAGGCTTCGCACGTGTTTTCCTGGACACGGGATGATAAGTGGACGAAGAAGAAAGGCGCTAGTCACTGCTAGATGCTAATCTCGACTCGAGAGCCGAGTCTCGAGTCGAGACGTTCTCAACAAGTAGTTTAAATCTCCACTTCCAACACTCCAAGACTACGTGAGAACAAACCTGAATCTTCTGTCCTATTGACCTGTTGTCGGATGTCCAGGCATTGCAGGCCCCCAGCGGCGGCCAGGCCCCAATCCCAGCCCAGCCCAGACCAACCCCAGTTTGCCCCACCCAACCCAGCCCGTGGACTGGACAGGCGCCTGCAATGCGATACCACAACGCACTCTAGGGGCTCTACAACTGTACGACTACTGCACGACCCTAACAGCCCTAACACTTTGCAATGGTAAACTGGGAAAAACCAACAAAACCAATACGACAATCATTGCGATATTTCCAAAATGCGAGGTCCCCGGGTCTGCTACAGCTACGCTGCTACACATACAACCTTAGCTGCTGGCCAACCAAGTCGCCTAAGGATTTCGCGATCTAGCCACTTCGACTTAGTCAGATTCAGTCTCCCACATTATTCAACCAGCCTCGTCAGCATAAAGCGAAAATATCAATGGGTCAAATACATGGATGAGGCATTGAGCCCAGACTAAACAGAACCGAAATCGAATCACGAGATATGTGAAAGGGCAAAGCTGGAAGGTCGGCAGGTAGTCGCACTAGCTAGCCGATGAAGCATTTTCCATTCGAATTCACACACGCAGGGACAGATTCGGATGGATTCAAATCAGTTTTCGTAATAAAAATAATACAAACAAGCAAGCAAGAGCCGAAACCATCCTTTTCTATTCAAAAAAAAATTGAAAAAAAAAATCATAAATTTTTGGGAGTCATAAATTTTTTCGTAAATGATTTCAGAAATATTTCGAAAATAAATGAAATTGTGCCACTGTACTGGCTCCCTAAGAGTGAATCTCTAGCCTATATGCAGAAGCATCTCAACCTCGGAGTACGACGCTTGCATAGTCGCAAAATGCAAGAGTTCCTCGAAGTCAATGTCCTCCGGCAGGAAGCAGGCATAGTAGTGGCCGCCAACAAACGTCAGATCGACAATGACGGCCCTCATAGTGCCATCAGGTGAACGTGCGGCAATGGAAGGGAACAGAATCAGGGTACACCAACCTCTGAACTGCATCGGGCGCGCCGGAACACACCGGTCGTAAAGTTGTGTATCGGCCCCCGGCACAGCTTGAAGGACCGCATCCATGACGTAGTCAAGCCCTTGATGGGGCGTGCAGAGAACAGCGAGCCTAAGCGGCCTGAAGTGAGGGGTGAACACCATTACACCTAGCCACCTGGCATCTTCACCACCTGTGGGTTCAGGGAGCTCAGAAAGGTATTCGAGCATAACAACACGTGCTCCGCCCTGCTCTGGGGACGGGAAGGGAGTAGAACGGCCGGCAAGCAGGGGCTGACCGACATGGTGGGCTAACTCCTCCAGATCGACATCGTGGGGCCGTCGCTGTGTAGTGGCACCCACACCCACAGGCAAGGCAGAGGCAAGTGCCAGACCGACAAGTCTGACGCCAAGTGGTGGGTGTAGGAACCCAGATTCGCAATTCAAGGTCTGAGCACAGGCCGGAAGCCCACTACATCCTAGCAGGATCCCCAAAGCGGCACGTCCTAAACCCATCCAAGAAGACCTAACACGGACATTATTGCTGCCGGGTCTAGGCTTACAAGAGCCAGGCCGGCAGGGGCGCCTGCTGCCCTGCACTCGCCTACGAAGAGGACGTCTCGTGGGTGAAGGCCCGTCACAGGCGGCCACACCTGGGAGAAAACAGGCTTCGAGACAGAGGACAATTGAGGTGGGCACACCAGTACAGGGCAAGGCAAGCAATCGACCCAGCGGTTCTCGTCTTCCTGGCAGGGCTTGCAACAAAACCTTGAAGATAGCAAGTGAGAATATCCCCAGCAGACTCCTTCCCAAAGCGACAAGGAAGAACCCTATCGAAGACAACCACTGTACCGAAATAGGCAACGCCTCAAAGGGCGAGTCGGAGGGCAGGTGCAGATGATAGCCGCTCTCATGGCGGACACATCGGAGAGGCCCTGGTTGCGCTGTGCGAGGCGGAAACCCCACGGTACTGCGTATGCGGGGGAACCCGATGCACCTAAACCCCAAGGGGGACAAGGTACTTACAGGTGCCCTATCGCTAGAACCTGAGTCCCAGAGGGGAACGACAAGTGCCCGAAGGCACGGTGAGTAGGAAGAGGAGTGAGTGGCTGAGAGCCCAGAGCCACCGATCTCACTATTTGGCGCCCACCACTCCTCTGTTGCAAAATTGCGCTCACTAGTCTGAAGGCCACATGGGCGGGGCAGGCACATGCCCAAATCCAGGGCAAAATGGCGGGGGCGCACTCCAGAGGATACACAAACCCAGTGTACCAAAAGAGCAGCCGAGGACGACAAGAGGCGACGCCGGGGAAGAAGGGCTGACGGTATGCAGCCTGGAACCTCACAGAGCCCTACAGCTGTACAGCCACTCACTCGACCTGTACAGACATCCGAGAAGCCCAGCCACGGTCGGCATGGAGAAAGCTGCCAGCCTTCATCTCCAACCCTCCAAAAAGCTGTGCCCACACAGGTTTCGGGAGCCGGAAAGTCTAGGACGGCGCTAGCCCAATCCGCACGTGGGGGGCTTCCCACTAAGCAGGACGACCACCAGGTGGAGGTTCTCCAGGAGCAGGCGTAGGTGCGCTGCCTGCCAGCTCGTCGTCTGAGGCGATCGGGATCTGAATAGGGCCGCCATTGATCGTTGCAAACCCCGGCGCTGGCGGCGGTGGCTCTGGAGGCAGCCCGAAAGGTCTCATGGCCGAGCGCGCCCCAGCTGCTCGCTTCTGAGCAACTCTTTCCTCCAGGGTGGGAGCATCTCCAGCATCTTCCTTGGCTCCCTACGATCTCGGGACGTCGTAGGGGCTGACCCTTGCCGTGGGCGAGGCAGACAAAGCTGGCGCACCTTCGGTGTAGGTACTCCTGTGCGCGGCCGGCCCAGCTGCCCTCATCTCGTCTGCCATGCGAAGGATCTGTGCCTGCATCCCAGCCGGTACAGAAAAGGGATCGGCGGGCAGGCCACCAAAGGTGGGGGATGCCGCTGCAAGGCCAGCTGTCTCCAAGGCAGGCTGTGGAGGTATAGCCTGCGGTCGTCCATGCGTGGGAGGCAGCCGTGACAAGCCATCTGCCGCACCCGCGTGTGCAAGTGCCCGGCTCAGAACTCCATTGAGGTCCGATCCGTCGTCTTGTTCCCAGGCCTCCCTTGTGCGATCCCAGTCCATTTCTTCCTCCTCCTGGTTCGCATCCACCTGGGGCACCGCATGTCCAGCAACCGTCTGGTATACAGCTTGCCTGGCCAGGTCTTGAGCCTTCAGAGCTTCCGCAATCTCCTTGTCCAGCCTCTGCATGTTCGCGGTGAACTTGCGCTTCTCCCGGAGAAAGGTCTGCTTGAGTTCCTCGTCGTACACTGCCCACTGCTTGTGGGCCTTGTCGCGGCCGGCGGTCAGCCGTTGCACCTTGAGCTCGGCCTTCCTCGCCAAGTTCAACACAGGCTGAACTCCCATGACCGAGCCAGGTTCGGGGTCCTCCAATGGCGGTCCATTGCCCTTCGCGGCACCCTTCGCAGCTCTCTTGCCCGAATTGGCCTCCGAGTCTTTCACCGTCATAGATTGGTAGGTGGGGAATCGCGGTCTGGGTGTCGGCTCTCCATCGCCTGTTTGCTTCCAAGGTCGTTGGGCCGGCGAATAAGCACCACGCCAGTAATGGGTAGGCCTTCCAGAACTATCGTCTCCTTCTTGGTCGTACTTGTTCCATTTGGCCCTGCCGCGGCCCATTCCCTGCTCAAGACGAGCTCGGAGCCGTGGGCAAGTCGCGTGATGCGACAAGAGCGCCAAGCAACGAGCCCTCGAGACAGGTTTGCCGGCGCGCAAGGCGGCTCGGGTGCGTGAGCGGTGGGCACGTAGCCGCCGGTGCCACCGAGGAGATGGCTTGTGAAGCCCTATCGCGGGCCGAAAACGACGCACTCAGTGCGTGGGGCCTAGGTATTCCGGCGCTTCCCGGCGATCCTGAGCCCTATATTCATATACATATACATATACATATACATGCACATATACAGATACATATACATATACATAAACATATATTTATACATACATATATAAATACATATAGGCGAGCCTATAAAGACATATGCATATACATATACATATACATAAACATATATGTATACATATATATATATATATATACATATAGGCGAGCCTATATAGACATATACATATGCATATACATATACATAAACATAAACATGTACAAGTACATATACATATACATATACATATACATATACATGTACATGTACATGTACATGTAAATACACATATACATATACATTCTTGGATGTGCTTCAATCAATGCTGCTGCTCAAAAGCAGCACCGTGCATTCTCAGAGTCTCCACTTTTCGCACGCTTGCTCAGCTTCCACTCTCAAGCAGAAGAGGACGGCTTCCGCCGTACAGAGCTCTCAGCCCCTCGTTCGAGACTGAGAGCCGAAGTTGTCAATTAAAGTCTGCGGCGGAGGGGTGGCGGTGGCCGAAAAAGCTTCAGGATTCATGCACTGCACTATCAATCAGCACACAAAGAATGCAAGCCATTCTTGGATGTGCTTCAATCAATGCTGCTGCTCAAAAGCAGCACCGTGCATTCTCAGAGTCTCCACTTTTCGCACGCTTGCTCAGCTTCCACTCTCAAGCAGAAGAGGACGGCTTCCGCCGTACAGAGCTCTCAGCCCCTCGTTCGAGACTGAGAGCCGAAGTTGTCAATTAAAGTCTGCTTTCCCACTCTGCCCTACTCGGGCGGGCGGGCGGGGCCAAGCGTGTTCGACGAACCCCTCGAACTGCAAACCGATAGTAAGCTTGCAAAACAGTCAGAAAACAGTTGAACCCGGTGCCGCACTTTTAGAGGAAACCGAACTAAAATTTCCAAGGCTCCCAGCTCCTGCACATAAATCTCGAGCATTCGGAACGATCGCCATCGTCCACGCCACTGTAACCTGGGCAAGTTCTCATCCCACTGCCGGAACAAGTAAGTTGCCCCACCAGGCCGCAGTGACGACGGGAGAAAAGTACAGGTGTTCAGAACCTCAATCTGTAGGAGATTGAACCGATGCTTGAAGGCCGCCCACGAGCCATTCCAGATGCGACGCCACATCGGTGTGGAACTGATCATCTGAGATACCCAAGCTGCAACTCCCGGCTCGTCCACTCGGACATGCTGACTGTGAGCTGCACGATTCCTCGTCTTTGGGTGTCCCACACGGATGTAGACTACTTCGCCTTCCAGGTGATCCTCGGGCAGGGACAAATCGTGCCTGCGAAGACAGATAAGCTCGGATGGTCTCAACAATCCAAAAAAGCCCAACACCAACACTACCGCCAGTCGCCGCCATTTCCACAGCAGCGCAGTAACGACAAGTGCACGTAGTATTGGAGCAGAAATCGGAGGATGATGCTGGACCGGCTCCAATCCTTCCCAGGTTCGGATCACATTCCAGGGCCCTGCAAGCGAGGATCTCAGCCAGCCAAACTGCTGAGCCAGAGCGTTCAAAGTCTCCGCCGCTGCTCGTCGACTTTTGTTCTGAAGAAACATGAAAATCATATATTCTTCGAGCCATTCGGACAGCACGTCGGTGAAGCTCCTGGCCAGCATCTCCACAGTGAACCCCGGGACCTGAGGCAGCAGCCACGCCTCCAGGTCCAGGATGAGCTGCGTCCGGATGGCATGAGTCTTCTCGGTGACCCTGCCACGCACCAGCTGTTCTCGGACACGAGGGGCCCGATTCGGCACTCGAGGCGCCGCGACCGGAAGCACGCAGAAGCAGAGCACCACCCAGCAGAAACCAACGATTGAGTGCCCTCGGCAGACCTTGTAGGTCATCTAAGCACCTTCTCGCCTCCGCCGATCCCCTCCGGAGTTGCCAGAACCATGAAGGCACGGGCGCACGAGGCTCCTCCACAGGAGCCGAACGGCTAGGGGCGTCCGCGCGAATGGACCAGGTAGGGAGGTGTACTCCCGACAAGTAAAGGTTTTTGCCAAGAAGGTGCGGGGCCTCGGTTCTCATCACAGCGTTGAGGGCCTCAGAGGGACTCCGACCTTTACCCAAAGCACCCAAATTAACCCTGCTATCCTGGCAAACCACGACCCTACTAGAACCCTGCATACGTTTGACCAACGACCTCCTAGCTTTAGCCTCTTGAATGTTGATGTGCGTCACGGTTCGAAAGCGATACTGCATGATAGTCCTCCAACGCAAACTTTCAGAGAGTTGCACGGCCCACAAAGTTGAGCTCCTCTTCTGACGAGCCTTCGAAGAACGAACCACTTTCGCAGCAGCTTCTTCGTGACAAGCTCCCGTTTTAAACTCATCCTCAAAGTCCCAAACAGCCTTGCAAAGAGTGACAACCTGCTTACAAAAAGCTTCGCTGTGTGACTGCATGTCCGAAGTGTGGTTGTTGTCCGGCGTCCCATGCGACTTCCTATGCCTACACCTAGAGCTCAGACTCTTAAGGGCCTCAAAGTTCGTAAGCATCCTAGTCGATTTCCGGAAATCACAATCGTACTGGCACCAATCAAACATCACTTCAAACGCTCCAGCTTTCAACAGGGAGACCCACGGGCCCACGCTCCGCAGTACTCCCAAAGCAGGTTGTTCAAGCGCAAACTTTAAACCCGAAAAGGCCTGAACCCAAACTAAAAGTAAAGACTGTGCGGCATGGAGATTACCCAGCATCGTGGCTTTATCCAACAGCTGGAGTCCCCAGGGTTGTTTCCAACTACGCAGTCTCGGAGTGCGAGCCGGACTGAAGCTAGTACGGGGAGGAGACAACCAAACAAACTTAACTCTCCTACACCTAACCATCCCTAAAATCCCCCAAAACAACGACTGATCTTTGAAATCACATCCCTCGTCCAGCTTCAAAGGTGGAAGCACTCTGAACTTTTCCGCTGCCCAAGCCGCGGACATCCGAGCATCTCCTGTATACACCTCAAGGAAATCGAAAGCGCCCTCTCCTAGTTGAGAGGGAATGGCAAGCCTCCAGCCATGCCGCGCAAAGGTGTCCAGGTAGCTCTCTGCAAAAGAGGAAGGACTCTGAAACTGCCTGTCCGATGCAGTCCCAGGTCCCCCTTGTATCTCAGCCTCCGGCTCAGATTCATCTAGAAGATCCGCCACCGCCTCTTCGTCCCAACCAGATCCTTTCAGACAGGCTGAGACCTTGGACAACAGCGGAGCGCGAAAACCCATCTTATCCCCTCGCCTCCAAATTTCCCTCGAAACCTGAACCCCAACCCTAGCCCTGCAAACTCCCGCACCGCTAGGCGACGCGTCAACACAAAAGATATCAGGACTCGGGAGGACGTTAAGGTCATTGAGGCAAAGAGGGGCTAAACAAGCTAAAACTCCAAACTCGTTGCGAGCGCCTGAAGTAAGCCTAAACGGCTTGTCTGTACCTTCCGGGCTCGCCTGCCTGTAAACCTCAAACATGAAACTGTACATTGGACGACGGTATTGGGCGCAATATCCCCAAAGACCTAGCACTCCTTCAACGATGCGTTCATCAACAGGTCCTGTTTGCGCCATTTCCGAGGACAGTTTCGCCAATCCCAGAAGCCGCCCGCGAGCTGGTCCTACCAAGCCTTTTCCACCCTCCATTTCAGCTCCCCAGACTTTGGAATGAAGATCACGACGAACCCTTTTCTTTGGATGAGGTTGTAGGCCATGGCTTCGGTAAGCCGTTTCAGCAGCCGCAAACACTTCTTGATCACGCCCAGGCTGTTCCAAGGTTTCCCTCATGGTCTTCTTCTTCTCCAGCATTTGTAACCCCAGGTGATCGTCTATCATAATGCCCTCTAAGAACCCACTCTCGGAATGCGGCACCGGATCACGGTATTTGAGGACCTCGCCTTCTTTCATAGCCCCGTAGGCCCTAAGCAAGTTAACATGACTTTCCTGCGCAATGTCAACAGCAGCGTGGTCCCCCATACCTAACCCCTTAAAGCAGCAAGCCACCATATCACCAGAATGAACCCGCCCTTTGGCCAGTGCATCTTGGTACGCGGTTAAATGTGCCACCTCCCCGCTCCGAAACAACGGTCCCACAGGAGAGCTCCTGGCCCTTGCCTCCGAAGCCTTATAGGCATGATAAAAATCCTTCACATCATCAACCGAGCACGCGCAAATGCGGCACCCCTCAAGAGGCAACTGGCACAGAAGCACCCCATGAGGCAAGTCGCGAGACGCCCCCGCGACGTGACGCTCCCGAAGGTTGCGGCGCTTTCGATGCAAAATCTGGCGATCTTTAGTTTCGTCCTTCCCGACCGCAAACAACTCACAACGGTCCTTACTCGAAACTTCCGATCCCTTGCACACGAACAAACGGCCCAACGCATCCCATCGCGCCATAACCTTCAGAAGTTCTGCGCGAGTCGCGGTTCCTCTCACTCGGATAGGTTCAGGCATCTCACTCTCATCTTTCAGAAAATCGTCGGGCTTCTCATAAATCTGCCGAAAAGTAGGCGAAAGGAACGGAAGAGGATCAAAGTCCTGAACCGACTCCGGCAAACTAAGGCGTTCAGCTACTACAGGCAAAGCCTGTGTAGCCGTGAATGTTCCGTCCCTAGGGTTAAAAGCCGTCCGTCGACAACCGTATGGCAAACCCTCAAAATGCACTAATTGCGATCTCAGCCTACACAACCTGTTGTCGGTGGCCGGCAGTCTCAGGCCGCATCCAGGATCACGTTGCCCCAGGCGGACTACTGATTTCACAAGGGTACCCAAAAAACTACACATCCTGCTCTGGGCAGGAGATAGCGGGTTCCCTCTTCTCCCTCGCAGCGGTGCTACATCAAGGGTCAAGGCTTCATGACTCAGAGCACAAACAGCTAAGTTCACCCACAATTCACAAGCCCTTCTAACCCTCCACCTAGCACGAAGTCTGCGGGATTTCCCTAAGTGGCATGGTTTCGGCACAACCCAGGGAAAAGGAGGCGGACATGGGAAGATCTCGTTCGAACTCCCACTGGTTTCGGAAGCTCCTTCAGGCAAGTAACAGGTACTTCTGAAATATTTGGCAAGCGGCATCGATGAATTCTCCAACTCCGCGCAGAAGGACTCCAGCCATGCCAGAGCATCTCCATCACGGCAGTCGGCCGGGGGTTGCGGGCCAGGATATGCCCCATTGGAGCGTCCCGATCTCATTCTCCCCGGTGTAGCATGCTCGGTGCTCTCAGAACAAGTCACGTTGCTCCGTCTTGGTCTCCCTGCGCCTTGCCTCCGCCCTTTGCCTTGCTCGGCACGGCCGCCCGTTTCTTCACGAGCCACTCCTCCTCCTTCAGCTCGTTGATGAGGGCCCCGATCCAGGTCGCTTCGCTGAGCCGGGTGTAGACGTATTGCCGTCGTAGGGCCCCGAGGTCCTGAGTAGACCAGTGGCCCCAGGGTGGTTCTTCCATTCCCGTGATCCGACTTGCCACTGCCCAATTCTCGTCGATCAAGAACTGCTCCAGAGCCGACATCATCCTCAACACGTGTAGGCGAGCTTGCTTCGGCTTGTTTTCTAGGAGCAGCTTGTGAGTCTGAGCAAAGCCCTGGAGGCAGTAGCCGGCAGTTCGGGACCGCCCGACTGGGCAAGTCTTGGCAAATTGGAGAGGAACCATCGGCGTCAGCTCCGAAGCCTCGATCGCTCGCATCATGCGAGACTCCATTCGTTCCTGGTAAGCTTCCGGATGGGAGCGCATTGCAGCGTTGAGCTTCTCGACCGCTTCGATCCCACGACCTCCCTTGCTCGTCGAGGACCATGCTCCTCCATCCTTGGCCTCCCCGTCGCTGGATTCGGATTCCTCCCAGGACGGCAGTCCCGGAAGTTTGCGACTTCGCTTGGTCTGCTTGCCCTGCAACATCTTCACCAGCGCAATCTTGAGGAGATCGTCCGTCGAAGCCCCGCTTTTCGCAGCATCGCCATCCAGATTCTGCAGAAGCTCTTGCGCCACGGCCGTCTCTCCTGTCCGACCGGGCTCGTCCTGAGTCCGGGGCGGCGGAGGGTTTACCTGGCTCCTCACGGCATCCAACATTGTCTCCATGCGATCCCGTCCCGCATCCAGCCTTCCTACGCCACCACCGGCGGGCGAAGGCGGCTTGTTTGATGCCTTTGGCGTTGCTCCCGCTCTGCCTGCCGCTTTCGACTGGGCCTGATCGACGCGGCCCTCCAGTTTGGCAAAGCGACTGTCCATGGCTTCCTTGATTTCCGAGAGCTGGGCCATCAATGCTACCAGGCGGTCTGGTTCCGGTGCCTGAGGTGCCCCCGTGGGGGGAGGATTTATTCCAAGCTCCTCGGCCGCCGTAAAGTAATCTTCCAGGCGCTCCTCGCCCGTCTCGATCCAGCCTGACACAGCATCGTCCAGCTCTCGAAAGTCTGGAAGCACTCGGAGGTCCTGGGTGAAGCCCACCACGGTTCGCCGAGTCCGAGGGTTTCGCCGCTCCAGCTGGAGTCGGACGTTCATCCGAAACTCCACCAGCAAGATTTCCAGGGGCTCCGTGTCTTCCTCGGCTCCTTGAGCCGCCACTGTGGTGACCCAGCTGGGGCCTACTAGACCGTCGCCCGCCCCTTCGGCCGCCTCGTCCAGAACCTGGGTGGGCAGCGCATTCACCGGCAAAGCCAAGATGATTCCTTGATCGCACACTCGACAAGGGATTGCTAAGAACAGTCCCTCCCCTTTGACCGGCCACTTGAGCAAGAGAAGGTCCACCGCCTCGCTGAACAGTGTCAGCACCTTGAGGCTTAGAATTCCTCGCTCGGCAATTGGCATGATGCTCCCAGCAAGTAGGCCTCTGCCTCAACCAAGGACGGGAAGCCTCGCGAGACAATTCCCTTTCGCCAAATTCCAAGCGGCTCCTGGACGGCCCTGAAGTAGTTGGCAGAAGACCGAGTGATTCTGGGCCAGTTCCCTGACGGGTCGTAGAGGATAACGTAGACCGCTGTCTGGATGGGGAAGGAGTCACGGGGGGCCTGATAGCGGCCCTCCAAGGCGCACTCGGCGTCTTGCTTGCCAAACTCAAAGGCTCTCTCCAAGCGCCTTTGAGGTGTCCAGTCAGATCGGGAGGCAAGCCGAGCACGGCGCACAAGATGAAGAGGAACAGCCCCGGTAGACGGAACGAGTTCCACGGCCAGCCTGGCACTCTCGCCCTCCGGCTCACCGACAATTTCCCACTCCCTGCCGCCGTGGCTAGAAGTAGAAGCAGGCTCTCGGCCTGGATGGATCTGAATGGACACTTCCGTGTCCCCAACGCTCACACGCAAAGTAGTGGACCGGCTGTCGCTCATCCACGATAAGCAAGCAACCGGTTGCGGCCTGCTCTCGCAGCAGGAGGTTGCACTTCCTCCTGACCCTCAAGGGCAGAAAGAAGCAGTCGTACAGTCCACCGCCTGCACCCGGCAGAAAGGATGAACCCGATCACCACACCTCCACAAATGAACCCAATCCAGAAGACCAGTAATGACCAAAGAATGAGTTCAGCCGCTCGCGGGGGATTGTTGCACCACCAATTGCTCAAGACAGGAAGGGAGCTAACTAAGAGATCCCTGAGCATCCGAAAAAGCTTCAGGATTCATGCACTGCACTATCAATCAGCACACAAAGAATGCAAGCCATATACATATACATATACATATCTATATATATATATACATATATATACATATATACATATATATGCACATATATACATATATATATATGCATAAATATACATATATATATATATGCATAAATATATATAAATAAATAAATATATATATATATATATATGCATATATACATATATATATATATATGTATATGTATGTAAAATGTATACAAAGTATTTTGATTACATGTCATACCCAAGCGCAACAGCCGGCCTGCTGAAGCGCCCCCCAGGTCCCCGCACGTCTACGTCAACTCTGAGAAGCAGCGGCACGCCGAAAGCATCAAATAAGCTATCTTTGTAGCACGAGAGAGTACGGTTTAAGGTTTAGGGTTTAGGGTTTAGGGTTTACTAGATAGTATAGGATCGTATGAGGGTTTACTAGATAGTATAGGATCGTATGATACAGCACAAGATAATAGACGATAGTAGGAGATAGTACAAGACAGTACGATACAGTATGGTATGGTATGCATCCTAAATGTGAACTAGGGGAAACCCATCCCAAGACCGATGCAGGGTTTGTTCTTGGTGTTTAGAAGAAGTGGGCTAAGGAGCTCAAGGCTTGGGGGGTGAGGCTTTTTAGGAGCTCTTCGGGTTTAGGATTTGGAGGTTTAGGGTTTTGGGTTTTAGGGTTCGTAGGTTTTAGGGTTTAGGGTTTGGGGTTTAGGGTTCAGGATGTGGGGTTTAGGGTTTAGGATTTAGGGTTTAGGGTTGAGGGCTTAGGGTCCAACAGCTTAGGCCGTGGAAGCCAAGAACTAGGAAGTTAAGAGTTTAGGGTCTTTTGTCACATCTGCCTGAAAGCTCGTGGGGCTCATACATGGGTACAATGTAGGTTTATCAATACCTGAACTCCACAGAATGTAGAAGTCAGACACCCCAAACACTTCTCTAATTAATACTTCAGAGCACCTCTTGGCCTAACATCTACACTACACACACGCACCGGCAGAAAAGAAGATGATTTGCTCCGAGCTGTAGGCCCCTCCTTAGACAAACCCCCTCCTTACGGGCCTTGCTATTCGATCCCTACTTGGAGGCCCTTTTGACTTAGTAAGTAGGGCTAGTAAGGTGGGTTATGGGGATTATAATGGGGTTTCTAGGGGATACTAAGTAGACTTACTAAGTCAACAGGGCCTCCAAGTATTCTTGTCCTAGTTTCAGAAGGCAGGACTATTGATCGAGGCCAACTTTCATATTGAAGCCTCCGTCCCTGCCTAGTAAGGCCTCATGACCCATAATATTGACTGTAGCTCAGATGAGCTACCGCAAGCTTGTCAGAGAGAAGCCTCCAAATCGAAACTTTGAAGTCTTCTTTACTATTTACGGAGCAACCCCCGAGACCCTAAGACTCCAAAACTCTAAAACCACCCCCTGAAGCCTACAACCCTAAAACCAGCGGCTCGGTTTCGATCCGCCAGCATTTCGGCGAGTCGGGCTCGCTTGTGGAGTCAGGCCTGCTTGCGGCAACGGAGGTCTTATGGCTAGTTCTCTAAATTAGGGTCCGTTTTAGGGTCCTGTTGAAAAGGGTGCCATACAAAAATTGGGATCCCGAAGATGGGGATATACGGTTGATGATATAAATCCTGCATTACCTTAATGACCCTAGGCTATGGGAATTATGGTATATTCTTTACTATGGGTCATGCAGGATTTGTATCATCAACCCCTAAACCCTAAACCCTAAACCCTAAACCCTAAACCGTTAGTTTGAGAACTGGTCTTGTGGAGACAGCATGTGAGCCGAGGCCCCGCAGCTTTGGGGCTCCCCGGGCTTCGCAAAAAACGCCTGGGGCTACGCTTTTGGGAATAATGGGGGGTAGGGGGTTTAGGGTTTAGGGTTTAGGGTTTAGGGTTTAGGGGGTTCAGGGGTGAGGGAAACTGAGGGGACTTTCTAGCTGGGGTTGTTTGTAAGGCAATTTAGCATGCAATTGCTTGTAACCCCACTTAAGTGCTAACAACCTACTTACTTACTTACAAAAAGCACCACAACCCCTAAAGCCCAAAGCCTAAATCGCTACCCTCAACCCTTAACCCCTGAAATTTCAACTGGACCCAAACCTCTGAACCCCCTAAACCCCTAAACCCTAAACTCTGTAGATCCTTATAGCACCCTTTACAGGAACCCTAAACCCTAAACTCTGTAGATCCTTATAGTACCCTTTACAGGAACCCTAAACCCTGAACCGATGTCCCGCCGGCCTCTTTGGGCCTTCGCTCTTCACGAGCTTTCGATGCTCTTGTAGCCTTTGGCCTCGGTTTAGGGTTTAGGGTTTAGGGTTTAGGGTTTAGGGTTTAGGGTTTAGGGGTCGGAAGTGAAATGTAAAAGTCTCTTTTCCCGCTTCCCGAATAAAATAAAACCAAATCCTAAATATCATCCTGGACACTACAAGGACCCCTAAAGGAGGTATCCCTGACTTCAAGACCTCCTTAATCCTTGAAGGGGTTGAAGACTTGCGAATGCAAGCTGAAAATTCAAGCCTCCTGGGTTTGGGGTTGAGGACTCAGCATACAGCGTAAAGGTTCAAACCCCGTCTGCGCCTCTTTTTGTCGCGCTCGGCTTCGCGCAGTGGCCTCTTGCACCTGGTTGAAGCCAGGATGCAGAACTTCAAGGTGCATGGGTAGTTGGAGGATCCTGGGACTTAGTAAGTAAGGTTATAAGTACCTTAATTGGGGTTATCAGTATAGTTACCCCATGCATAACTCACTAACTAAGTCCCATGATCCTCTAAGTAGCGAGTAGTAGGACTATACAAGGATCTTAAACATTGCCACCATCACCTGCATCTGCATTTTTTTGTTACCTATGACCCTACTTAGAACTACCATGAGTTTTCAAGTCCATTGGCCATGCATACGGAGCCTATGCAGGATGGGGAAAATAAAATGACTTCTTGGAAGGGCAGGGGACTTAGTAAGTAGGTTATAAGTAGAGTTATAAGTTCCCCAAATTGAGTTACCCCAATTATAACCCTACTTATAACCTACTTACTAAGTCCCCTGCCCTTCCAAGTAGTCATAGGTAAACTGAACAGCACTCTCCACATGTCGCGGTTTATACAAGTCCCAATTGGTCCTTTTTCCGGATGGACCCACAACCCTAAACCTGGACCCTAATCCTAAACCCCGAACCATAAATCCTAGACCCACCCAAACCCTGAACCCTCAACCCACGGACCCTAGAACGCCCAGAACAGCAGGCCACCTTGTGGCTGAAGTCCTGGGAATTCTCCAGGGCTTCCACCGAGTATGCATCAATGCAGTCCTGCAGACGAACGACTTTAGGGTTCACGGTTCAGGGTTTTGTTTTCAGGCGTTTGGGTTGCTTTTGAGGGTTTAGGGTTTACAATGCCTATTGAAAGTAAAAACTATCAAGATCACGGATGACTATGGCTAGTACTTGGCAGCTTCCGACTACAGTGCTATTGTTGTTGCACTTGCTCATGCAATCACTTTTGCAAGTGTCACTCTGAAGTCTAGAGACTGTGATTGCCAGTCCCACTACGATTGCTGGTGCTATTCTCTCGCCATGATTTTCCCTGATCTCACTACTGTAGCCGTGAACGTAACCCTGTTCGTAAGTGACCCTTACAACACCCTCGTAAGCAACCCATCTAACACCTGTTGAAATAACCCTTATAGCAACTACTCCAGCGGAATAAAAGCAGCACTTGCTATGTGGGAGCTTCCGATAATAGGGGACCTTAATATAGTACCCTAAATAGTAGGATCCTTAAGGACTCCAAAGTAAGGTAGCCCTAATCTTCGGAAACTCCCTTGCAACACCCCTTCTCGGAACCCTTATAGCAGCCGATATATAGATCTCAACACTTGCGTTCAAGGGTGGCCTTGATATCCGCCGCGACGCCGTCGTGGAGATTCTTCCGCCTCGGGATCCAGAGAGCCCAGCACGCCCTGAAAACAGAACGTCCGTAAACTGGAAAGAAATTCTGTATAATATTCCTGAAACATGGCCTTACAAGACCCTAGGCGGAATATGGTTTGAGTTCAGATTTTGCCTCAACGACCACTCGAGTAAGTAAGGCTGCTTGTCGTACTAACAGCATTTCCGCTACTTGTGATGGCATCACCACGACTATTGCTACTGCTACTGTACGCCTAGCCAGAAGAAGGCCCAGTGAAGCATCCTAAACCCTAAACCCTGAAACTTAAACCTTGAACCCCTACACCCCTGGACCCTGATTTTGAAATCTGAACCCCTAAACCCTAAATCCCTAAACGCCTTCATCCCCGAACCTCTACCCCTAAACCCCGAAGCCCCACACCTTTCTGCCAAGCAGCATCCAGTAGGAGGCCAGGGCGGAGGAGCCCGACCTAAAGCTCACAACATTCCCAGTCAAATACCCAGAGACCCCGTAATTAAGGAATAAGCAGGGTAAGGGCTCCGTTAAGGGATCTATAGGGTTTAGGGTTTAGGGGATTCCAATATTAGGGATCCTACTATAATTTAAGATATATTCCATAAAACCAAGGGATATTGCAGCCTCTGGGTACTAAGGCTTCTCCACTCTTCATCTAAAGTTCCTTTGAAGGCTTCCTTCAAGGGCTACTATAAGGGTTTCGGGTTCCTTTAAAGGGCTCCTTCAGAATTTCTATAAGGGCTACTGTAAGGGTTGAGGGTTTAGGAATGTACAAATCGAAACCTAGTATAGCCCCGTCCAAGGATTTTGCAAGGTTTCTTCAAGGGCTTAGAGGGTTTTACAGAATTCAGGCTCCGGGTTCACGGCTTCAGAGCTTGGGGTTGTTTACGTAGTGTCCAAGGAATTTTACGGCATTCTTCTCCTGATCTGCGGTGGGAACCCTGAACCCCTAAACCCCCAAAGCCGAAATCCTAAACCCCTAAACACCCCTGAACACCTAAACTCTTAGCTACCCTCCAAAACTCTAAAACCCTAAGCCCTAAACCCTGAACCCTCAACTACCCAAAAACCGTGAAACCCCCTCCGAGGCCCCTGGCGGAAGCGGCTCCATCTCTATCTTCTTTTCTGGCTCAGGGTTGGCAGCCCCATCCTGAGCGAAGCCATCGAAGGGGGGTACTTCTTGGGTTTTAGGGTTCAGGGCTTATAGGGTTTTTTTTTTGGGCTTATAGGGTTTAGGGGTTGGGGTTTAGGGTTTCAGGGTTCAGGGCTTATAGGGTTTAGGGTTCAGGGTTTAGGGTTTCGGTTTGCACATATGCACAGACGCGTAAGGGTATACAGAATGCGCACCTGAAGAAGTAGATATGGATATAGATAAAGATATAGGTTGTCGCTATAGAAACCGATTCCGATATAGATATAGATATAGATATAGATATAGATATAGATATAGATATAGATATAGGTATAGGTATACGTGCGCAAACATGTACACATAGGCAAGCACATACAAGTAGATGGATGATAGGTACAAAGGCGGGTGGACAGATAGATGCTGGACTTGAACCTCTATACATACCAACTCAACAAGAACTTTTGATCCCGAGAGCTACCTGTAGCCGGAAAGACCTACCTTTTAAGGTTCCGTATTATGGTTTCTATATATAGTTCCTTGAAAAGGTAGGCCTTTTCGACTACAGGTACTGCCTAAAACCCTAAACCATGAAACCCTGAAGTCCGGAAGCCCCACCTGTTTCTAGAATAGAGCCCGAAAAATATGGTGAATTTCCGGAAATTAGGGGTACCTTATTTTGGGGTCCTTTTCTTGGGATCCTACTATTTAGGGTACTATATTAGGGTTCCCTATATTCGGAAACTCCCATATTTCAGAAGCGTCGACCCGCTAAAAAGCCCTTACAAACCATCATAAAAACTTGCGAAACTGCCTCGCAACCTTGGGGTTTGACCTCTGGGGTTTGAAGTTTCCCTCATAAACCCTTCGAAAACGCAAAACCCTTAAACCCCCTAAACCCTAAACCGAAACCTCCAAACCCCTAACCCCTAAACCCCTAAACCCTAAAACCCTAACCCCTAAACCCTAACCCCTACACCCGAAAGCCCCTATACAGCAACCCCCCCCCGTGGCTGGCTTAAATAGGGTCTATTTGGCAGCTGGATGGCTGCATTTCTGTATACAAGTAGTGCTTGTGCTCTCCACCACAGACCACGCCATGACACAGGTGACGTAGGCGCAGACTCCATGCATGTATAATTGATCGTTCAAACTGTCTGCACTTTCGCGGCACTTAGCTGCGTATCATACTGAAACATACAAACGGCGGCTACTTGCGCCCAAGCTTCGTGTTAATATAATGTTTAACCGGTCAGAATGTCCACAACTCCTTGGAATGTAGACAGACATACATTGTACGGCAGCTACGACTAACTGTAATGTTGGCATGCCGTGCATCCAAACGCAGACAGTGGAGCACTGGCCTATTCGTGCGGCGAGATCACTGCACCATGAAGTTCTAGTATGTGTGCGCTATTACCTGCGCCAACCATTAGTGTCGGTTGGGAGATGAAACTTCAAGCATAGTTCTGGGGAGTGCGATGAGACACGAACTGTAGTATCTTTTCCGGATGGCTGGAGCCGATCAGTTAACGTCCCTCGAATTTCGTCCAGGTCGGACAAGAGGATTCAGGACACACAGCCGAAAAGGCGTGCGCCGCGTAGCCTTTGCATTGGGCAAGATTGGCATGCGCCGCTTGGCAGGATTGCGGACAGGCGGCTGCGGTCGAGCCGCGCCTCTTGCACGTGCTGCTGTCCTAAGTTCGGTGGCCTGTTTGACCACCTGCAGCTGAGCCTAGCGAGAGGACTTGCCAGGTACATGCAAGGTCCTACACCAACGGGACCATTCAACCTTCGGGAGAATCCCAGGTGTGTTGCCATGCAAGGCACGAGGAATCATCTCGTTCTGAGAGGTTTGTCTCTGCATCGGTCTATATAGTGCCTGATGATGCACAAGCAACAAGCAACTTTAGAAACCTGAAGAAACGAATCTTCAGGAGGAAGGCCGCCTTGCAGATGTTGGCGGCGGTCGACTTGTCGCCATTTAAATATTGGGAGAGGGCCCCGGATTTAAAAATTTAAATCATTTAATTCCCGGGGTCCAGGAACACTGGAACACCATATAGGGTCTATTTGGCAGATAGTTTCTGTGGATTCCTGCCAACACACACACACACACACACATCCAGCTGCCAAATAAACCCGGTTCAACCCTAAACCCTAAACCCTAAACCCTAAACAGCCACACTCACCCCCCCCCCCCCCCCCCCCCCCACCGAGGCCCAGACCAGATCCTCGCCGTCCAGGCGGCTCAGGTCAGGCCTTGAAAGGCATCCTTAAAAGGACGCGTCTTTAAGGGAAAGGGTTTATAGGGGTTTAAGGTTTGGAGTTTAGGGTCTAGGGTTTTCGGGTTTTAGGGTTTAGAGCTTAGGGTTTAGGAACTTTTAAGGGGAAGGGTTAAGACTGATGAGCTCTTTTTTGAAGCTTCAAATCTTTGGGTTGCAGAGCTGGAGCTGCGAACCCCGTAACATCAACACGCTGAAACCTGAAATCCGACACTTAGGGCCTACTTGAAGGATCATAAGACTTAGTAAGTGGGGTTGTAAATAAGGTAACTATACTTATAAGTACTTATAACCCCAATTAAGGCACTTATAACCCTACTTACTAAGTCCCATGATCCTCCAAGTAGAGCCTGACGCCCGGAAACCCAACCGAACACCAAATCTTACCCTCATCAAAGCCACTCCTACCCAAAATGACGCCACTTGAAACCCTGTAAGCCGCGAAGACACGAACAAGAACACCAGTACATGGAAGAACAAAGTCAGATTAAGGTTGGGTACTGCTCCAACACAGTGGAAGTCTCTAATGGGGCCTTGTCAAGGGCCTAGCATAACTAACTAACTATATATATATATATATATCCATATCAATGAAGGGCTGAGTTTAAGTATCTATATATACATATATATTACGACTAGTATCCAACTGTTACTGAATGGGGGCAGTACCCAAGTGATTGAGGTCCCCACAGGTGCGCCAGGAGACTTGGGAGATAGTCCGGAGCCTTTGGGGGCTTCCCAGGCTTTCCCAGAAGGGGCCTTAATACTTAGAATAAGGTTCCTTTAAAGGGATCCCGAAAAGGGATCTCTAGTGGGGTTCTATGGTATCGGGGCCTTAATGATTGGAATGGGGGGACCCCGAAATAAGGTACCCCCAACTTGGAGGCCCTGTTGACTTAGTAAGTCTACTTAGTATCCCCTAGAAACCCCATTATAATCCCCATAACCCACCTTACTAACCCTACTTACTAAGTCAAAAGGGCCTCCAAGCAATGGTTTAGGGTTTAGGGCTTCGGGGTCGAAGGTTTGGGGCTTGGGGCCTGCAAGCTTTTAAGCTTTCAGGGTCTCAGGGCTTCAGGGCTTAAGGTTTAATATAGGGGCCTTCATAATTAGAACAGTGTTTTGGGGGTATACTATAATTGTAATAATTAGGGAACCCCAACATAGTAGAGGTAGTTATGAAGGCCCCTATAGTATGTAGGGTCTGGGGGTTAGTGTTTTGAGGGTTTCCGGCTTTGGGTTGGGGACTTCGGTGAGGCTCCGGATGCCTGCATCATGTAATGTCGGGGCCTTAACAATTAGATTAGTAGCTTGGTTATAATAAGGAACCCTAAGAAATAACATTGGCAACTATTCCGAGCCCTACATCAAGCGATCTTCCGTATTTAGGGTCGCAAACCTCACCCGAGCCCGTCGCCTCCACACAGGCGTTTCCCCGGAAGTTCAGCATGTTGATCTTCCTGGGACGGGATTAGGCCCTGCGGCTGTAAGTTTCAGGGTTCACCGTTGCAGGCAGGGCTGTCACTATGAGGAAACCAAACACTTTATCCTGTAATTGGTTGCCCTCTTCCTAAACCCTGACCCCTAACCCTTTCCCTGGAACCCCCCGGCAGGGGAGGCAGCTTTATAGATCTGTCTATTCGCTGGACGCAGTGACACGCTGAGTCGATGTCGTATCTCCCATTAGGATTTAGGGTTTAGGGTTTACGGCGTGAGGTATCTTGGGGTTTAAGGTGTAGGGTCCCCTTTGATGATCCTCACAGCCCATCTTGCTGCCCCTGCTTACTCAGACTCAGACTTCTAATGCCCTGAAATGAGCTGTTAACACTCTTACAAACCCCTATGCAGCGCTATGAAACCCTACATATTCAGCTTCTCAATCAAAAGAGTGCGCAAGAAACATAGAGGTCTGAATATTTTGTAAAAACATCCCTATTAAGAAATCCGTCCAGATCAGTACTTTAGAAGCCTAAACAATTACCTATACTATTCTGGGGGTTCCTTATTATAACTATCGTATAATGGGCCCTGAAACCCTATTCTAATTATTGAGGCCCCTGCATTAAGGCCCCCATACCAAACAGCTTCTGCCCGATGATAAAACACGCTTCAAGAAATAACAACTCGGAGCTGGAAACCCGCTTATCTAAACGAAAACTTAAACCCTTACTGTAGGGGCCTTGACTATACTGAACGTAGAACCCTAGCAAAAATTATAATTTTAGCTGTTTCTTAGGGATTATAATAACCAAAAATTAAAAATTAAAACTAAGTACCCCTAAGTTGATAATTAGAATAGGGTTTTGGGGCCCATTATACCATAATTATCATAAGGAGCCCCCAAATATTTGGGGCCCATTATACTATACTTGTAATAAAGAAACCCCCCAAAATAAGATTTTGTAATTATTAAGATACCCTGGGCCTATAACCCCACAACAATAGGGTTCATATAAGGAACCGAAATCAAGGCCCAAGGTTTCTTAATCAGGTTCCTGCATTGACCCTATATCATAGTAATAGTATCCTGATAGATCCCTTGTATTAAGCCTTATAAACCCCTCCAAAGGAACCCTACTCTAATTACTAAGGTCCCTACTTAGAACCATAATTCAAAAAATTATGTTTAATATTCTCTTGGGTTTTATAAGAACAAAAATAAAAAAAGAGTTGCTAGGGAGACTACAACCTAGAGGAACCCTAGTTGTCAAAACTAGTTCATGGTTGGGATAGGATTAAACATTCACATTTTGTTCCTTCTCGGGTTTAAGTACCCATAAAAATGTAAAATGTTACCCAACTTGGAGGCCCTTTTGACTTAGTAAGTCTACTTAGTATCCCCCAGAAACCCCATTACAATCCCCATAACCCACCTTACTAACCCTACTTACTAAGTCAAAAGGGCCTCCAAGTATGACAAAGAGCAACCCAAGCTTTCAAAAATCCGACCGAGTCTCTTTGGGAGCTGCCTCACATCGAGCTGGACCTCGGGCTCTCACTCCCGCGGGAGCCACGCGGAAAAAGGAGAGGTTCGTTCTCGATTTGGGGTTTAGGGCTTGGGGGATAGGGGTTAGGGGTTAGAGTTTAGGGTTTAGAGTTTAGGGTTTAGGGTTTAGGGTTTGGGGTTTAGGGGATAGGGTTTAGGGTTCAGGGGTTAGGGTTTAGGGTTCAAGGGTTTTGCCTTTTTCTAGGCTTTGAAGTAACCAGGGAGAAAATAGTATATACTTTATATTTCAGAATGGTTCCCATGCAGTAACAGGTCCCAAAAAGCATTTTAAAGTATAGTACTCCAGCTATAGTTTAGAAGCGTTTAAAGTATAGTACTCCAGCTATGGTTGAGAAGCGTTGGTAGGGATTTGTCGGAGGGTTTCCCATCGGGTTTCTCATAAGGCATGTTCGGAGTATTGATACAAGCTTTATCAGGGTCTCATATGGTGTGAAGAAACGTATCCTTACGACATGGAAAAGTGGAGTTTGCCAACCCACGGCCCTCCATCGCCGGGCTCCCCGCGATCTCATTCCTCGACAGGTCCTGGGCACAAACTCCGCTCCGGGAGCGGAGCAAGCAAAACTTAGTGTTTAGGCTTTGGAATCTAACATTCATAGGGTTGGAAGCGGAACTACGATCTGCCCCCGAAGCCCTTCCCGATGTCCAGAAACTCCAGATCGGGCAGGCAGAGCAGGTTCTCCACGACGGCCTGAGCCGCCAAGAAAGCACTCAGAGCACTTCAGGCGAAGATCCCAAATCTGAACCGCAAACCAGCTCCTGATCCTGAAACCCTATGAATATGAAGGCTAAGGCCTGCAAAATCCCATCAACTGAAAGTGCAGGAACCCCTCCGAAGCCCTGCGAAAGCCGCGTTGAACGATGAGACCCCGTGCCGATCCTCCAAATTGGCTGAAGCTAGGGTTAGGGTTTTAAGGTCAAAGGTTTAGGGTTTCGGGTGTAGGATCTAGGGGCTAGCTTAGGGCTTAGGATTTAGGATTGTAATTTAATACTTTAAGATCAGGTTGGGCCGGGCCCCAGGCAATTCGGTTGCACTGCAGAGCGAGGAACTGCAGCCTTCCAACGCAGTTCGGAGGCGGATGGGCTCCGGGTTTAGGGTTTAGGGTTCAGGTTTAGGGTTTAGGGTTTAGCTTCTATTTTCTGCAACTACCATTGGTTGGGTTTAGGGCTTAGGGTTTAGGTTTTAGGGGGTACTTGCACAGTGATTATAGTCTTATAGTCTTGTGACTGGTTTTCTTTGTTGCTACTTTTACCTCCGTTGTTGCAATGATTGATTTGGCTCTTGCTTTTCATTCTCTTCTACCATCGACTGGTATTGCTTCTGCATCTACTTTGAACACCTTTGGCATTCATTTTGCAATGATTACTTCCGTTTCAACTTCTGCCAGTGGTGTCATTCATCCCAAATTCGATTGCTACGATTGCTACCATTGCAAATCCCAGCGTTGCACTACTTGCACTACTGCCATATCGTTCTAATAAAGGTCGCTGCACCAAGTCTTCTGTGTTTTTCAAACTCCCACATGGGACCTCGGCATACACTCCAGGTTCTCGATGCGCTCGATGCGGTTTGCTTGAAGGTACAGAACCTGACGAGCCAACAGGGCGAGATAATAAAAACAGTGATAAAGAATAAGAATAACATCAATAATAAAAATGATAGTACCAGTAGTAATAACGAGTTATGGAGACCTGGCAACCAAAGATCAGAGACAAGTTGAAGGTAAGATGCAATGAACAATTACTAGTATTATTCCATAGACTTCTTTATTGTCAACTATACTACTTTCTACCTCCAAAACCTTTTCACCCTAAGATCGAAACCAGACCTGTAGCCGACAAAAACAAAAGCTACCGTTTTGCGGTTCCTTATATTGGTTTCCATATAGTACTCCTGAATATGGTCATATAGGCGCTTAAATAATTACCAATACCATTTTTTGTGGTTCTTTGGTATAGTTATAGTATACTGGGCCCCGAAACCCTATTGTAATTAGTAAGGCCCCTATATTACAGAACCCTATTTTAAATCCCTTATAGACCCCTTTAAAGGATCCCTTTGAAAGGACCCCTGTTTTAATGATTAAGGCCCCTATATGAAGTTCCCAGAGAGCCCAATAGCCCTTTGTTTAAGGAATATAGCTTAAATCATAATATCAAGCCCACTATGATTTTTAATTAAAGGGTATCAGAAACCCTAATCCCTATAGGTCCCTTATAGACCCCTTTTAAAGGAGCCCTAGGTATATTCCTTAGGGCCACAGGTAAAGCCTATTCTCTTCAGGGGCCTCCGCGCACTCGAAGGGCTCCAGGCCGCAGATTTCGGCGAAGCCCTGCCACTGCAGATGGAGCCTCAAAAGGGGGGATCTTTAAGGGTTTAGAGGGGTTTAGGGGTTTAATGTTTAGGAGTTCAGGGTTTAGGGCTTAGGGTTTTGGGTTTTAATGCTTAGGAGCTTAGGTTTTAGGGTTTAGGGTTTAGGGTTTAGGGTGGGGTCTTTAAGGGTTCCTTGAAGGGATCTCGAAGGGGTTCCTTTAGAGTAACTTTAGAGGATTCCTTGATCGGTATCTACAAGAGGGTTCTTTCATGGATCGACAGGTTCAAGAGTGGCTCATACAAAAATTAGGTTATGGGAATTCAGGGCTTCATGTCCCGAAACCTAAATGCTCTGGGCTCTTTTGTGGTTCACCGAAGCGCAGCTCGTGGAATCCCAAGATATGGGGGGGTTCGGGAAGGTTCCTCATTTGCCAGCCGAGAGGCGCACAACCAAACTTGGCTAAATACTGAAGTTACCATGACTACAACGGGTACATACAGTCACTATTATTACTGTTACAACCTTTATTAGTGTGATTAATACTAATATTATTACTAAGTACCAGCTTAGCTACTAGTATTATTAATACTACTACTGCTGCTACTACTACTACTACTACTACTACTACTACTACTACTACTACTACTACTACTACTACTACTCTTAATACAACTATGACAACTATGCAAACCCCTCATTGCTCTTGAATCCGCATGGTTCGAGGTGCAGGTTTAGGTCTGGGCAGTCACGGGCGGTTGGGGTCGCACGCCGAAACTAAGGGGGCTTAAGGTTTACGCCCGGTTTGGGTTTAGGGTTTACGCCCTCGCGTCCTATTCTGTAAGGTTTCGGGTTTAGGATTTAGGGTTTCGGATTTAGGGTTTAGGGTTCGGGGCATCATGGATCAGAAACGCGAGAGCTGAGGCCCCGGGCGATTTCAGCACTCGAACCCGCTCCAAAGCTTCTTCCTGGCTTGCGGCCATGGTAAGTTACGCCTTAGGGTTCCGAATTTCGGTGGCTTCGAGTTCTAAACCCTATACCTTGAACCCTGGGGTTAGTGTTTCGAGTGCTTACGCATCGGGGATTATATAAGCCTCTCAGGCTCACCCGGCTAGGGTTCGGCGAGCCCCGGAAGCCAGAGGCGGAGGCCTCAAAAGCTGGGATGAAGGTAGGTAGGATTCAGGATCCCTTATATAAGGACTCTTATTTGGGAATACCCCACCTACCTTCATCCCACTTTTTGAGGCCTCCGAAAGCCAGAGGCAGAGGCCTCACTCATCTGGTCGTAGGCGCCCAGCTCTCCCTGCGCCGAGAAAGGTCACTCAGAAACTCTGGGACCTTCGTTTCTGTAGACCTAAACCCCTAAACCCTAAACCCCTTCAGACCCGAAGACCTTAAGCCCTTAACCCCAAGTAACCTGAACCCCTGACTCTGATCATCAAGCCCGACCCCTACAGACGAAGCCACAAAACACCATGGTTCCCAGAGAGCCCAGTACCCCTTAATTAAGGAATATGGCTTATATCGTAAGGGGCTTCACATTACGATTTAAGCTATATTGGGCTCTCTGGGTTCCTGAGGCGTCAGCCGGGGTCAGAGACAGCTCCATGATCAAGCGCAACGTCAACCTCTCGGGATTCGCAAACACTTCAAAACTTGGTTTCTGCAGGTCTCTATGCGGCCTTACACCCAGAGAGCCCAATACCCCTTAATTAAGGAATATGGCTTAAATTATAAGGGGCTTCATATTATGATTGAAGCTATATTCCTTAATTAAGGGGTATTGGGCTCTCTGGGTTGGTTTCTGCAGGTCTCTATGCGGCCTTATATTTTCTCGGCTTCTGCGGAATTTGTTCAGGTTCAGGGGACTTAGTGAATAGTACCTAGACTATAAATATGGCCATAATGGCCGTAGTTGGGATATAGTGCTCATACTAAGATCGCTACACAGTATAGAGATATACAACTACGTAGATGGATCTCTATGCGTACTTGCAGCTGCGAATTTTTAATTTCTTTTTGTGGAAAGTGATAGTTTTGGGGCCCCTAAAGTAGGTACCTCCAAACAAAGGGACATTCTAGAGTTTCCCACAGTGCCACCTAGCTAAACCAAACTGGAGCCGCTAAACCCCTAAACCCCTCAACCCCTAAACCCTAAAGCCCTAAACCCTAAACCCCTAAACCCCTAAAGCTCTCAACACCTAAAGCCCTAAAGCCCTAAACCCCTAAACCCTAAAGCTCTCAACTGGGGCCCCCGCTGCTTCGGTGGCTTGCCGTCCCAGAGCTGGGACGGATGTGAGATCTCCGGCTCCTAGAGGTTTAGGGTCTAGAGGTACTATGGGGTCCCCTTTAAGGGCACTGTAGGGTTCCATAAGGGGTACTATGGGGTTCTAGAAGAGGGCTCCCGGGAACCCTTTCAGGAAACCTTGAAGGAAGCCTTAAAGCCCTCAAAAGGAACCGTTGAAAGAGCCCTAAGCACCCTTACAAGGAACCCGTAAGGAGGTATTACGGGGTTCTCTAATAGCCCTTTAAGGATACTATAGGTTCTATAAGGGTGCTACGGGGGTCTATGATCGGATCCCCTTCAAGGGTGCTATGGGGTTGAAGTTCGTGGGGATGTTAGGAGTTTGGGGTCTTGGTGGTTTAATATTTAAGGCTTACTTGGAGGATCCTGGGACTTAGCAAGTAAGGTTACAAGTACTTCAATTGGGGTTGCAAGTGGTTATAAGTATGGCTACCTTATTTATAAACCTTACTTACTTAGTCCCATGATCCTCCCAGTAGACCCTAAACCCTAAACCGTATAGATCCCTTTAGGGAACCCGTACAGATCCCTTTAAGGAGCCCTGGTTGTTTCGAGGTGGTTCAGTTTTTAGGGCTTTCGGGCTGCCGGGTTTCAGGGTGTGGGTTTGGGGCGAGGGTTTACGGCTCTTAGGATGTAGGTTTCTACTGCTTTCAGAGTTTAGTGTGTAATTGCAGATGGGCGTAAGTAATTAGAATATGGGTTTGGGGTCTATTCTACACTTCTTCTCATAAGGAGCCCCAGAATAGCGTGGGCAATTATGTAGGCCGTTTTATTGGAGCTTCAAACCCTCCCCCGACTCCCCTTCCTCTTCTTCTTCCATGGCACTCTTCGCACAGAAGGGGCCGTAAAGGAATGAAAGGGCGTGTCCCACAGGGCCTTTCGGTGATGTTCTGAGAGTTTGCAAGGTCTAGGCTTGAGGATTTGGGGTTCAGGCTCCAGGGCTCAGGGTTTAGGGTTTAGTGGGGGGTTAAAGTTTGGGGGTCAGCATGGGCTAGGCGGGCGCCTGCTTTCTCACCTCATGAGGCACAGCTCGGGCATGTACGGCATCCCAGCTGGAATTATGTGAGCTGATCGGCTGCTTTTCAGGACGCCCTCGCATCTTCGACGGCTCTGAGCGCCATGGCGACAGCAGCTTAACGGAGAAGTGTAAGTGAGCAAGCGTCGCCTAAACTCTACACCCCCTTATCTCTGCTACTGAACACAGTGGCACGACGTCACAAACTGATAAGTCAAAGATACGCCAAATCACAATGCAGCAGCTGTCATCCAAGCAGAACCCCGAGAGGACCATCTATGTGAGTGTCCGGGGCCCGGTGCTTTGTTTTGGGGCACCCATTAGCCACTCCTACTCCCCCTCCTACTCCACTGGCACTGGCACTGCCAATGCCACTGCCGCTGCCACCGCGACTGCCATTGCCTGCGACTGCGACTGCTACTGCTCCTCCTACCCCTCGTACTCCTCGTACTCCTCCGACTCCTCCCACTCCTCCCACTCCTCCCACTCCTCCTATACTCCTCCTACTATTCCTACTATTCCTACTACTCCTACTACTCCTACTACTCCTACTACTCCTACTACTCCTACTACTCCTGCTACTCCTGCTTCTCCTGCTACTCCTGCTTCTCCTGCTACTCCTGCTGCTACTACTACTACTACTGCTGCTCCTGCTGCTGCTACTTCTAATCGCACCTTCCTTCGCAGCAGATGCAAATTTGTCGATTCTTGGCGCAAAACTTGCGTCTGTTCGCGGAGTGAAACCAAGACCACTCTGTGCGAAGAGGGGCCTTTTAAGCTGCTTGCACATTCTGGAACATCTGTCCGAAACCCACAGTATCTTATTGGCAACGTAAGCTCAGCCAGTGACCTGCAGACCTCCGACACGGTTGCAGCCGCTCCGCAAAACTGCCGGACACCGCGCGGCTCGCAGAGTTCGACTGAGAGACCCTTCCTTGAGCTGCGCCTCGCCTATGCTTTTTTTACATTATACCATACTATACCATACTATACTATACGATACTATACCATACTATACTCCACTTCTCTGTATACTCCACTTCTCTGTAATCTATACTGTACTACACTATACTGTACCATACTATACTATACTTTTCTCAGCTACATTCACCTGTCTGTAATAACTATAAGCTACATGGGTGGTTGTCAAAATTAGGGTCCCTCTTTGGGTCCCTAATATTATACCGCACCTAAGATTTAGGGTACCCCAAAAGGGACCATAATTTTGACAACTACCCATAAGTTTCCGAACGTAGGAGACCCTAATATAGTACCCTAAATTAGTAGGATCCTATTTATAAGGACTCCAAAGTAAGTTACAGAACTATAAGCCACATGAACCCTAGGCAAAAGCCTAACGAAGAAGCGGGTCTCTCGAGTTCCATGCGTCCGCACCACGGGCTCCCGGTTGCAAGGGAGCTACTGCAAACAGAACAGAGTCAGCGACGGCCATGGAAGGTATAGTATAGTATAGTACAGTGTGATGTAGTATAGTGTAGTACAGTAAAGTATAGTAAAGTGTAGTGTAGTATAGTGCAGTATAGTATAGTATAGTATAGTATAGTATAGCAACGTATAGTACAGTATAGTATAGTAAAGCGCAGTATAGCCTCTATCCTGAAACAACGGGGGTCTCCGAAAGTGGCTGCCGCAGAATGATCCAGGCTGCAAAATTGACTTTGTAAAATCGCCGCCAGAGCGCGGACAAGCGCGCCCGAAACGCTGCGAGCCAAAAATTCTGTGCCAAACACACGAGCTCCACTGCAAGTCAAGATCGCGAATGACGGCTGCGGCCATCTAAAGAGCCTAGCGCAACATATCATAGTAGCATACAAGTATGGTGTGACGGTAAACCATCAAGTGTAGCATGAAGCATGTTTAACAACCTCCTAAAGCCCAGCGCACACCCTGAATTCTCTTGACCCTGAGAAGCCGCTGTAGAACCCTTACAGTACCCTTAATTAGGGATCCCTTATTACGGCCCCTATACCTATCCTATCCTATCCTAAACCCTGAACCCTATAGATCCCTTAAAGGAACCCTTAAGGGAGCGCTGGAAGGAAATCCGAATTTTTACTTTCAGCTGGAGCTCTTCACTTCGCATCCCGGCAGCATCAGAAGCAGGGCCTCGGCAAAGCACCGAAGCCGTCAAATCCAATGTAGGGGCCTTAATGATTAGAGTAGGGGTTCCTTCATGATTAGAGTAGGGGTTCCTTAATGATTAGAGTAGGGGTTCCTTGAAGGGTCTCTTGTAAAGGGATCTATAAGGCTTACTTTCACGGGTGTATGAGGGGTTAGCATAGGGGCCTTCATAAAGGATGACCTCGTGGGGCACTTCAGCGTCCAGGGTCCAAAATAAGGGCCTTAATAATTAAAAATATATGGGGTTTAGGGTTTAGGGGCCTTCATAATTGGACTGGGGGTTCCTTGAAGGGTCTCTTATAAAGGGATCTATAAGGCTTACTTTCAGGGGTCGTATGAGGGGTTCGTATAGGGGCCTTAAGAATTAGGGTTTCGGGGCCCATTACTTTATACTTATGATACGGAGCCACCAAAATAGTTTTGGTAATTACTTTGGCCCATATAGTAGATGGGGTTCAGGCTTTCGGGTTAGGGGTTGAGTGTTTAGGGTTTAGGGCTCAGGGTGAAGGGTTTGCGGTTGGTTGTTAAGAACTCCTTTTTCCATCGTTTAAGTATTCATCTACTATCAAGACCATAAAAAACAAGGATGGGGCTCTATCTATCTCTTGTATTGATGCAGGGTTTGGAGTTAAGATTGAAACGGTTTAGAGTTTAGGGTTTAAATGAGATAATTAGGTATCGATCGTGATAATGAGTGAGTGATGCGATCCGTGGCCCCAGCTGGTTCCAGAGGATCGCCAGCTCGGAAACCTCCCAAGCAAGCCGGGAGCGAAGGCTAGCGAACAAGGGCCCAAGTGTCCCTTAATTAGGGGATACTATCATTTAAGGTATATTCCTTATAAACTATAGCAGGATCCCTTCTAATGGCCCTACTGTTATCCTGTATCTCACAGGCCTGGAGCTTAATAGAATTAATAGAAGGCACTGAGTGCTTCGAACAAGGCGGTGGTGTAATTTCCAGGGTGTTACTTACTGTTATTTTGTAGAGACTATGCTGAGGTGCACCTATAAGTACAAGGGCTTAAACCTTTCACAGGATTCGGGGGTTTGGCCTGGCATGGGGAGGTGGCTGAGGGAGCCTTCGGCACGAACAGGCTCCCAAAGACTCCAATATCCCCAAATTAAGGAGTGCTTGAATTATAATAAGATCCCTAACATGAGTTCAGGAATATTCCTGGATTATAGTAGAAGCCAGAAAGTTGGAACATCATTGTCCCTGTGCCCTTCAGGTAAAGTATTAGGGATCCTAGCACTGATCCTCCTAAAGCCATGTTCCAACTTTCTGGCTTCTACTATAAGGACTATTGGAATCCCCTAAACCCTCAACCCTTTAGATGCCTTCTAGATCCCTCAAAGGAGCCCTTACCCCTCGTTTTCCTTAATTAAAGGAAATTGGAGTCTCTGGGGCTTAGCACATCCCAAGGCCAGGGAAGGATGACCTCGTGCCCATCTCGAGACTCCAATATCCCTTAACTAAGGAATATTCCTTAAATCATCTTCGGGATCCTACTATTAATTTAAGGTATATTCCTTACTTAAGGGATATTGGAGTCTCCGGGTGGGGCACTTCAGCGTCCAGGGTCTAAGATAGGGGCCTTAATATTTGGACTAGGGCTTCCTGGAAGGGTCTCTTATAAAGGGATCTATAAGGTTACTGTAAGGGGTGGTATGAGGGGTTAGTACAGGGGCCTCAATAATTAGAATAGGGTTTTGAGGGCCCATTATACTATAGCCCCAAAATAGTGTTGGTAATTATTGAGGCCCCCGTATTAGGTTGCGGGGTTCAGGGGTCATGCGGAATTCTACGTAGGGCAAGGCTGCAAGCACGTTGACTGGAGCTAAGAAGGTAAGCCCAAAAGCCTGAAGCCCCGCAAAACCTGAAGCGCGAAACCCCAGAGCCCCAACGTCCCAGTAAACGAAGCTCCAAAAAACAGCCCTCCAAAGCCCGAAAGGAGCAAAGAACCCCACCGGTGCCTGCCAGGGATACTCCAGGTCCAGCTCCTCCAACTTCGGGTTCCTGGCCACGGAAGATCCAAACTTAGGGTTCTGGGTGTAGGCCTAAACCCTAAACCCTAAACCGAGAGTTTGGGGTTCTGATGTTGGGTTCTAGCTGTGGTGCCAGACCTTACAGCAACCTGAAAAGGCCTACCGCAACAAAAACAATTCCAAGAATCCTTGAAGCAAAAAAGGCTCGGAGCCTGATAGACGTGGAGGACCCTTAATAAGGACCCCTATGTATATACCCTGAATATAGCTACTATATACCCATTATATAGCCCATTATAGGGTAGGGGTCTCCATTAAGTGGACCTCCTCGCCCCGCCCGAAGAATGAACCCCGAAGCTTCAACTCTAATTTAGGGGTTAGGGGTTTTAGGGTTTTAGGGCTTTAGGGCTTTAGGGCTTTAGGGCTTTAGGGGTTTAGGGTTTAGGGTTTAGGGCTTTAGGGGTTTAGGGCTTTAGGGGTTTAGGGGTTTAGGGTTTAGGGCTTTAGGGGTTTAGGGGTTTAGGGTTCAGGGTTTCGGGCTTAGGGCCCAACACGTAACCTGATCCCGAAATCCCAAACCCTGAAACTCTAAACCAACAATCGATCGAGACCTGACATCCTAAACTCAAAACCCTTAAAGCCATGAACCCGAAATCCGAAACGATACACTGGAAGCCCGCAACCCTAAACCCATATCCTGAACCCAAAACCACAAACCCTACACCTTAAAACGGGAATTCCCCTTGGGGTGTTGGGCTTGTGTTCCAGCAGCATCGAGCCTCGTCACGGCCATGGCATAGCAGACCGTCCGAATGTCGTCCACTGCCTGAGCTTTGAGACCCATAGCAAGCCTAAACCCTCAAACCTAAACCCTAAGCCCCTAAACCCTAAACCCCTAAACACTCAAACCCTAAACCCTAAAACCCTAAACCCCTAAACCCTCTGAAACAAAAACACAGGCTTCGAGGCATGGACACCCTCGACGATCTCACCCTCTGCATCCCGCAGGCAGTTGACCTCAGCCGAAAGAATTTCTGTGCGGGCCAGACCCCAAAACCAAGTGTCCCACCTGCTGCATGTTGAAGGTCCAGATGAAGCACGGAGCGCCCTACGTCGGAAGTCGCTGTGACAAGGGCGGTTTATGGTGTTAAGGGGGGCGGGTCCAGTTTTGGCACAGGGACTTCCTCGAGATTCAAGGATTTCTTCCGGCTTTGGATTTCTGCATGAGGCATGTCGGGTTCGGCTTCATCGCTCCGGATGAGGCTTCTGCGACGACTGGATCCTAAACGAGTGTTGCAAAGTTGGGGTGTCACACAGAGACCGGAATTGGCCCCACGGACTCTGAAGAACTTCAGGATTCCATCACAGGCTCGACATTCACTTTGCTCCTACCGAACTCCAACCCTCAAACAGATGACAAAGCTGTTGCAACGCAACTCAGCTGCCATCACTCCGATCTCTGTAGCCACCATCGTTCACTTCTGTTTGTCTTCGATGTCCGTTGCTGGCAGCACCAAGTCATTTGCTTGGCACTCTATGCAGAACGCAGAAACGGCAGGCCCGGCGCACAGCTGTTGCCAAGCGGCGGGACTGTCTGAACTCGTCGGTGCCCTGCACTCCATGCTAAGACACCGACCGAACACATAAAACTGGCTCGAGCAATCGAATTAGCACAAGGCTGTTCTGTTCAGCCTCGACCGTCATACTGCCTCGCTTCTGAACGAGGCTAAATTTCACATGCAGTTCTCACTGGTGGCCACAGACTCCGTGTGAGACTGGTACTCACCGCTTTGCGTCTTGCCCTTCTCGGAGCTCTGTGCCGGTCCGTGGAACATCCCACCCATCTCGGAAGATAGAAAGAAAGAGTGGGCCACCCTCTCATAGGCGACGACCGCTAGGACGAAGAAGAACTCCTCACGCCACGATGCCTGCAAAGGGGGCCGGAATGCAATCCGCATCCTGATCCCTGTCAGCCGCCCAACAACGCAGTACAGTGACGAAGTACCGCTGCAGCGCCGCCAGCTGCCCATCCGTCCAAGGGGCCTCATCGCGCCCAGACACCTGCGGGACTACGCCACACTGCCGAAGACACTGCGGAAGGGCATCCGGAAGCCATTCAGCGGGCCAGCTGCTGGAACCAGCGGCCGCATCCCAGTCTCTTCGAAGCACGATCTGCGCCTCGCGGTTCGCCACACAGCCCCAGAGGAAGTGATCAGTGCGCTCATCTTCAACTCCGCAGCGACAGCACCGAGCAGACTCAACTTTGCCCGCATGCCTCCTGCGATTCCGCGACCAGAGAGCATCTGCCAGGAATCTTGCGTAGCGAGCTCCTGCGTCAGTGCCATCCCATCCGAAGGTTCCTTTGCGTAGCCGAAGAGCTTGCAGGGGCTGCAAGGAGCGCTCTCGATCAACCCCAGAAAGAATGCCTCCATGAGCAATGCGAGACGAGTCCCAGTACTGCCACCAGAAGGCCCGCAACCGGTCCCTGAAGATATGCTTCGCCTTGTCGCCTCTAGCGTTGCGCAACGCCAGGTCTGGTAAATGAAGACGATGGCAGAAGGAATCTATGAGCGTGTCCCAAGAAGCCCACTGCCACTTCAGGAAAAGAAGACACCTCCTAACCTGCCTGGCAAACCCAATACAGCGACGTTCCTGAAAACAAGCCCGCCAAATACCCTGACCAAGCAGCGTGTTCTGAACAAGAAGCCTAGCAAGAGCAACAACCGTGGACCAGCACTGAACCATCACAGGCGCCATGCGATGAAGAGGAGCCAGCAGACCAAGAGTGTAGGCCTCACTACGCATGTAGTTACGACTGTTGAGCGTCGGCCCCCACCAAGCCTGCACTACCGACGTAGTAAGGCGGTCGCAGGCCAGTTGCGTCATCATGACTCCCTCAGCGTAAAGACCCTGCAAGTAACTGGCAACCAATGTCCTGCGCACCTCAGGCTGGGGAAGCAAGCGAGCACGAACGACCTTAGCCCTAACAGCCTCAGCACGAGCATCGCCATTGGACAGAGACCCTCCCGGATCAGTCTCCAGCTGCACTCCGAGGTATTTCACAGAAACTTTCAAAGGCAAGCATGACCAGTAGTGCGTCGGGTCTTCTTGGGCCTCGCCTACATAAAACCGACATGATTTCCGAGGGTGAACAGTCAAACCGAAAGCCTCGTCAAAAGCTCTCGTGATGCGCAACCCCTCGGCCAGAACCTCCACCCGTCGATGGAGCAAGCACCTGTCATCGAGGAAAACCCTGACGAGGTCCAATTTCGGCAGTGCCCATATCCAAGTCGCCATCACTAAATTCAAGGCCCAAGGGGCCAGCGGATCCCCTTGGGGTAGACCACGTTGGCGAGCGGCTCGAATCGTGATGCCTGTCGGACCGTCCAGCAGCCACACGTGGCGCTCCAGCCGTTCCCACAGATCAACAACGCGAAACATGAACAGAGGAGCTCGAGCCTGACGGAGAAGACATCGAACGCTTTCAAGACTGACCGAGTCGAAGCATTTCTCGGTATCGAGGGATGCCCCGGTCAGTGGCCTCTGTTCATGGTAGGCCACCGCCAACACGGACGACACCTCGTTGGCTGAATGCACGGCTGGAGGAGCTCCCCCTCGGCCGCCAATCAGTTCCGGAGGCATCCAGGAAGAAGCCCATTGGCCAAGCAAGGAGGCAGATCTGGCCGACCAAAGCCGGTACCCGACTTGCATGACAGTCAAAGGTCGAGCATCTCCGGACTCTTTAGGTATACATACAAGGCGCGCAGCCTGCCAAGCCCTAGGAAACTGCATCCCAGCATCCAGCTCCGTATAGAGGGCCGCGAGCCTCTCCAAATGGACATCAGGCAGATCACGGTAGTGCTGAAATGTAAGGCCGTCCAGTCCTGCAGCACTGTTGCGAATCTGAGCTCGAATGTCGCCGACAGTCCATGGCGGTGGCCTGGGAAACTCGGAAGCTCGCGCAGTGAGGGCCTCAGCGAAGACGCCCGCAGCCGAGACGCCTGCCGCGACTGCAGCCGGACTCCTCTCAGTCCACCGGGGCAGCCATTCCGCCTTTACCGCGCGCCCTTGTTCAGAAGGGGTGATGGCAATGGACCCATCCTCGTTGAGAAGCCTAAACGGTTTGGCGGGACCAGACTTAACCCACTTAGAAGCCAAGCTAAGGTCGCGAACACGAGCCTTCCAGTCGTTAATGCCGTCACGTCGGCGATGAGCTAGCAGAGCGTGAAGAGCAGCCTGGCCGGCCTCATACTTCTCGTGCAGCTCATGTGGTCCAGCCCCATTCACTGCCCCACGCACACATGCGCCGCAGCGCACCCATGGCGGCGAGGACTTGATCACGGTCTCGACCTAGGCCAGGAACCACCGAGCAGGAAGCCTTGACGTACGGACTCTCATCGCCGCGAAGCCCAAAAGCACAGTCCAACCAAATAGACCAAGCCAAATCAGCATCCCTACGGCGTAAAGCAGCAAAGAAGGCCTCATCAGCATCCAGCGTCCACGGGTTTAGGCGCGTTCTAGGAAGCGCCCAGGCCAGCAAAAACTCTTCACGAATCTCACCCGGCACCGTACAGATCACCGGAGCATGCTGGGTGACAACTTCCTCCTGCAGCGCAGCAACCGCGCCGACGGGCCTCAAGGCCCCACAAGTGACAAATCCGTCGAGAGACGAGCACCACTCATGCTGGACAGATCGTCTCCAAGTGTTCGTAAGCGGCAAGGCCGCATGACCGCTGCACGGAACTTGAGAGAGCAGGTCGGAATTGAAATCGCCTCCAGCGACCCACAGACCAGGTCGTCCCTGCCACGAAGCCAGCTCGGCGAAGAAAGCCTCTTGGGTGCCACGGGAATGAACCGGAGCGTAGATGGAGGCGACTCGCATCATGCGACCTCCAGCCATGCGCAGAGCCACAGTACAGATCTCGCGAGAATCGCTCTGGAGCAAAGCCGCAGAGAATCTGCGATGCACAAGAACGGCCTCGCCGTAGCCACAAGACCGTTGAGGTCCCCAGAACACCTGCCACCCTGCTTGACGAAAAACACGTGACAGGCGATGCCTGCCGTTCTCAGGGATGTGGTGCTCCTGAATCAATGCCACGTCCACGCTGTGACGGAGCAGGAGTTCCGCGAGACCATCACCTTGCGTGTGGAGACTACCCAAGTTCCAAGAAAGGATCCTGACACCGGGAGGACCCGGATTAGCGGCTTCCCCTATCCGACAAAGCTGGGTCCACGCCATCCACCAAGGAACAGCGCAGACCCAGGAACGTCAGGCCCTGGAGATCGTCTTTCTAGCAGCAGGCCGACGAAGGACACCCTTGCGAAGCGTCTTGCCCTTAGCAGCGTCTCTCCGCTTGAGCTTCCTCAAACTGCACTTAGAGCCAGACAACTGGCACTGCTCTCTGCAAGCTGTCTTGTGCCAGCCCGACACGATGGCGATCCTCTCAGTTTCCTTAGGAGCAGCCACCAAACCCTGTCCCGCCTGAGACAGGGGACAGATTGAGCGCAAAAGCAAGGACGGTTCGTTGACTTTGCCACAAGCCAAGCAAACGCAACGCCTGCCGGAGCGAGCAATGCCTTGACGGTTGCCCTTCTGCAGAACATGCTGGCGTCCCGGCCAAGACGAGGGCACCGTTGAATGGATTTCAAGGTCGTGAGTCCAAGAGGCCTTCGCAGCGCGCACCAAGGCGAGCTTTCTGTGCAAAAGCTGAACGGCGACCTGCCCTCGCAAAGGCTTTTGATTTCCGAACATGTTCATCGGTCGGGGGGCATATGGTTCGAGACAAAGGCTGCATTGGAGCCAATGCCGGCGTCGAGCCTCGCCAGGCTTCTTGTCATCGCGTCCAACAGCCTTTGGCACCGTCCATCCGCATCTACAAGTGTTGCTCGTCGCCAAGCCGCCAGTCTCGGACGCACCGCGAGCCTCATTGCGCGGAGTGCCTGCATTGGAGTGGCCAAGCTGGAGCCTCAGCGACGCCCTGGTACCCGTCGACTCAGACGCAGCCCGATTGCCCAAGAGGCGTCGACGAACCGACGGAGCAGTTCCGCACGAGGACAGGTCATGCGCGAGGTCGATTGGGGGGCATGCTGGAGGGACTCGCCGCCAGCGCCAGCCCGAAGGCCGACACGAGGTCCCTCCAGCATGTTGCCCCAATCGACCTCACGCATGACCTGTCCTCGCAACGCCTCATAGTGTCGAGCATGATACCGTAATGAAAGCTTGCCCCGGTGGCCTTTAGGGTTAAACACATAAGTGCCATCCTTAGTGACCACTCGGATCATCACGTCAAGCGTGTTGGCGACCGCCGTGATCTCCAACGCACTGCCCCATGCCCCTTCCAGGGCGACGCTGTCAAGGTAGCGCTCAAAGTCGTCCATCTCCGTCTCATGCTCATCTGGCGTTCGCTTGTCCCAAACTCCGACATAAGCATCGCGATATTTGCGCAAATGCGCCACGGCAGATGCTCTCAAGACAGCCTGACCGCGAGATTGGCCAATCAAGCCGAAAGCATCGGAGAGAGCTAAAAATAAACAGTTCCCTTGCCCCGTGTTGGGCACCGGCTCCAAGCCGGCCGGCACAGCTGTCTCCTGGACTTTAAGCTTCTTCGCCACTGAGCCGTTGGACGACCCGCCTGGCCGCTTGTGGGCATCACCACCCTCCTCCTTCATTTCCTCACTGGGGGTGGCAGCACCCTGAAGCTCAACCGGAGGCCCGCAGCCAGCTTTGGTCTGGAAGAGGCCTGAAGGAACCTGAGCGACCTTGGGCGCAAGGCCAGAGCTAAAGAGAACGCGCTTTTCCGGAGCAATGGCGGTGTGAAGCCGCCGGTCGCCTCGCCCAAACTGACATGAGGCCTGAATGGTGCGGTTTTGGACTTGGAGTGCCATGTGAGAGAAATCATCAGCACGAGTGGCCCTAAGCGCCCACCCCACAGCACTTCTCCACTTAAACTGCTCAACAAGCTCAACATCAAGAAACCCAGCCTTTTCAGCGAGCGATCGAATGTCATCTGCCCCCATTTCGAAAGAAGCGCCTAAGAACTTCCACAGACGGCGACGCTGCGTGGACTGCTCGTTCTTGGAGTCTCTAGCTTTTCGGACGCCGACCTGTCTGCGGCCCAGCACTACCCCGAATCCAGTGCGTTTGGCCTTTTCAACAGCCTGAGTGGCAGCTGCTGAAAGGGAGGTCGCCTCAATCCAATCAACAACCGGTGGAACGTCAAGAAGCGGCGCCTCCCAACGAAGAGGCTCGAAGAACCACCTGCACCCGCCTGCGAGCGAGCCACTGTGCTTGATGAAAGCCAGCGCCGAAGCCTTATCGACTCTAACAAGTCCTTTGCAATCGTCCTTGCCGATGAGCTCCCAGCCCCAAGAATCCCGAAGAGAAGGGGAGAGCTTGCTATCAATGCGCATGAGCCAAGTCCTTAAAGCCTTGCCCGGACCCTTAGAGACCTCGTCCCACTGACCAACCAGACCACGGCGTGTCATGGCCCTTAACACAACGGAGTCCTTCTTCGCAGTGCACGGAGCCTCAATGGCCATGCCAAGCACCTTGGGCGTGGGAAAGTCCTTGCCACGAGTCAAGCTGAACCGCTGCACAAATCGCAGACCTGATCCAAAATGCAAGGGGATGGACCGCCTATCCGGGCTGACCCCTAAAGAAGACTTCGTTTCCTCAGCAAAGCCATCATGCGTGCGATAATTGAAAATGACCAGAACATCGAGTGAAGCATGTGCACCTAGGAGCTCCCAGATTGTTTCTGCAGCCTCAGCAGTGCCGGGCATCGCAACCACGGCCTTGAGCCGCCAGACGGGCCTTCTTACGGCGCCAGGCACGAGGCGAAACCGAAGTAGGACGATTGCTACTAGCAACCCTCGCTCCGCTCAGACCGGCCTTCACAAGAGCCTGCTGCACAGCTTGATGAATCATTTGCTCCATCATCTTGCGAATCGTGCCCTGGAAGTTGGAGTCAAACATGCCCGAGAGGTTCATGTGGTCATTTTGACGCCCACGGCCAGGTCCGGGGTGGTCCGCCTCGCCAAACCTAACGCCATCAGCAGGCCATCCATTCCAGGAAGAAGAACGCCCTTCGGGAACACCACTGTAGACAGGAAGTAGTCGCCCTAGACGTCGCCACCAATCGCCGCCAGAAGCCCAGAAGGACCCACACCCCTCGTGTAGAAGACGTCCTAGCCGTCGCCCACATTCACCGCAAGGAGCGTGACCAGGAAAAGCGCCAGGGCCATGGCTAGGTGTTCCACGGTCGCAACATAAACAGCTGGCACTAAGCCCATGAGGGCTACGGTCACCACCACCTGGGACCTGAACCTCAACCTGACCACCCGAAGGACACGGAAACCCAAGGAGAAGTCGCCCAGGCCACTGCCGCCAGCTACGACGCGTAGAACGAAGGACTCGCTCGGACGACCATCCACAGCAGCCGGTACCACACCCTTCATGTAGAAGACGCCCAAGCAGCTGCCCGCAACCAGGAGCGAGAGCGCAGGCGTGGAGATCGCCATCGTCCAGCTGTTGCGCCAACCGGGTGCACCATTTGGAGCCACACCCATCATGCAGTGGCCGCCCAAGTCGCCGCACATAACCCTCAACCGAAGCGTGAGTTAAGTCAGTCTCCGAGTCCGCCTCAGGAGACGCAGCCGTCCCAGCAGGGCGATGACCATGGCTAGGCGAGGCAAGGTCGCAGGACAAGCTCTGGGCACTAAGCCCCGGAGGGCTACAGTCACCATCACCTGGAACCTGAACCTCGGCCTGACCACGCACAAAGCCTCGAAACCCATGGCCTCGCAGGCTCTTGATCGTATGTTGGGGTGTTGGCGTCCCCTCCGCACTGACCTCAATCTGTTGGGGTCTTTGCGTCCCCTCCGCCGTATTGAACCACTCATGGGGTACTCGCGTCCCCTCCGCCTTATTGGAAGACTCTTGGGGTCCTCGCCCGGGGAGCCTCCTACACAACTAGAAGCCTGCACGGAGCCCTCAGCAGTCCTCGATGTCCACAGGCAGCAACTCAACCAAGGAGGCCGAAGAGAGAGCTGCCAGCGAAATCGTCGCCAACAACGTGAAGAGCGAACTGGTGTCCATCCAGGCCCTCCGCAGCCGCAGCCAGCACGCAAAAGGCGCCCAAGTCGATGCAAGCAGCCACCGCAACCACGAACAGGAGGGGGCTGCGTAGTCTGAACACTCTCATCAGTGTCACTCTTGGCCTCCAAAGCTAGGCGGCGTTGGCGTCGCCAAGCACGACGCATGCTAGCAGGGGGACGCCTTCGCTTGCGCCATAGAGCTCTGGGGCGACGGAACCGCCAGGAAAACCGTTGCCCACCAATCCATCGGGCACAGTATGCCCGTCGCCAAGCGCAATCCCCCAGCGGGACGCTCTGAAGTAACCTTCCGCGTCGCTTGCTCTTGCCCATGCCAGAGTGAACGCTCTGAAGTAACCTTCCACGTCGCTTGCTCCAGCCCGTGCCATAGTGAGCCACCTGCCCACCAACACGGAATGCACAAGCATTCGCATCGGGAGTGAGAGAATGCACGACCTCGCCACCAGTGCCTGCAGCCTCCGCTTCGGGAAGGCACGAATGCACGCCACCAGGACGGGCACGCGCACCATAAGGCTCGCACATGCGCAAACAAATTTCAGCCAGTGACGGCATCTGCATTTCCCACCCATCAAAACTGAACGCTGCCCAGACGCCTCCGCTTGTGGGAGCCATGACGCGCGTGTAGCTATCCCTTTCGCACCTGTTGTCACTAACAGGCCCGATTCGGACCGCGGGGAGGCGGATAGCTTGGGCCGAACCACCCATCTCGGACCAGTAGTAGCATGGGCTCAGCAGCGCCCAAAACATTACATAGCCCGCATGGACCTGGAAAGGCAGCAGGGCATCCTGGATCGGCTTGTAAAAGCAGAAGCCTGCAATCACTGCCCCGAGGTTTCCACCGGCACCCACAAGCGCGGACACCACTGCGAGCTGCTTCCTGACGTGTGCATACTACCAGTTGGCACAAAGAACTACGAAGATAAGTTGTTGCCATGACCCCAGTACTTCACACTCAGATGTGCTGACATGTCCTACACTAATGCAACGGTGGCAACCGCGAATCACCCAAAAATCTTCCATGCACTGATCCAAGCTTCCGGTTCATAAAGGGCACGATGCCGTAGGAGGTGCCTTCAGCCATCTGCACAAAGAGCGAGAAGCACACCAAGACTGCCAATGCCACGTACCAAGGCTGAGAATTGTCCACGTTTCCGAAGCTGAATAGGAAGATAGCTTCGAAGAAGAGTGCCAGGAACTGGGCCCAAATGCGGCCGCGGAAGCCGAAGTACTTGAAGCACACATCGCTGCTGATGCCTCCAAGTGATCGAGCGAAAAGATTCATGAGGCCGAAAGCACCCGCCAGCGCGCTGGCATCACCTGCATCCATCTGGAAGTATGTCCGAAAATGCGTAGCCAACTGATTGTTCATTGCGAGCTCGGTGCCGAAACACGCGGAATATTGGAATATCATGACCAGGGTTGGATTGATGAACGCGGCCTCGAGTGCTCCTGCACAGGGGCCGCCGTGCATAACCCCGCCACACAAGGACCCGCAACCTAAACCGCGCCGCGCGGCGCACCCCCGTCCCGAGAAGCCCTAAAACCGAACCCCTGACGAACACTCGCCCTAACCCCTGCAAGAAAAGCAAGCCGTGGCGCCGCTGTCGTCTTCCCTTCACCGGGCCCAGGCCAACCAAGGCGCCTGGACAGCACGTAAGCAGGGACCTCAGGACGGTCCTGCGCAAAACTGGGGCATTCCCAGCTGAGATCATGACCACGACGCGAACGTCACGCAGCACCTCGACATAGTCCCACATCGAAGGCTTTTGTGTCTTGCCGGTCACGGCCGGATCGTAGTTGCGTGCCGTAGGCATATCCCAGCACATGAGCTTCATGCAAACGGCACAAACTACGAACATGACCGCTGGCACCACCATGGAGACACGCCAAGCGACATTCGGCTCCAACCCGGATGCCACCATAGGGTTGAAAAGTACAGACATCATAAAAACCTGGGTCACGCCGCCTCCCAAGTTGCCCCAACCGGCCGCAGTGGCGTTGGCCGTGCCGACAACATTGGGCGCAAACATCAGCGAGCACCAGAACTGATTGGTCACGAAAGTGGCGCCGGCGCAACCTATGAAGAAGCGGATCAGCGTATAGTTCCATGGAGCTGTAATGGCGGCCGCCATTGCCACCCAGAAGGCCCCAAAGGACATTAAGCCGCACTGAACGTTTACCGGACCGAAGCGCTCGAGGAGCGTCCCCAAGGCAACCCTCACGAAGATGGTCGAGGCAACGGAGGCTACGCCGGCATTCCTAGTTCATGGTTGGGATAGGAATCGAAATTCAAATTTTTATTTCTTATTGGGTTTAAGTACCCATAAAAGGGTAAGATGTAACCCAACGATGACAAAGATTCGCAATCACCGACTTACATTCCGTGCCCGGGGTGCACACGCACTTTGCCAGCACCTGCGGCCTGTACTTCTCCTTCTGCTCATCCGTTGACTCGGCGCCACTCACCACATCTGCTGGCACGTCCTCGCAGTCGATCGGCTTGCCGTCCTCCTTGAGAACCCCATACTGGCAATAGCTCAGCCCACTCTTCAAGTTCTTGAACTTCAGGTAGGCTGGTCGCGTTGGGAAGTCCGTAGGAGGGAAGAGCTGGTTCTCGCACGTCCCCATGCTGGTCGCAACTTCGAGGCCCAAGGGCGCCAAGGCAAACCAGCCTTGGCAGCTTACACTTTTTGTTTTGATAACAGTGTACGTTAAAGGTTGAAACGAGCTAAGCCCAAAAATGCGAAGATTACATAGTAATTAGTCCCGGCGAAGACCCCAAACAGTATTGACGTAAAGACAAGAGAGACACATGTTATAGTGGTCGTTTACAACAGCGAATAAACTCAAAGCAGCGATCGGCACGAAGTCAAAAGTCGTGCCTGCATTAACACCTTTGCAGAAATCTGTGACGGCATAACGACCACGAAAGCAAAGTCAAAAATCGAAATTAGATTGGTGCCTGGACACTGGCCACAAGTGCGTAAGCATCCGTGACAAGCCAGATGCGTTTTTCAGGGCTGGAAAAATGCATTTGCCTGTAGCTTTCTACCGGCGGCTAAATTGCGTTCTGTCGGTTGCGCGGAATCTAAGGCTTTGTGCGATATTTATTAAGGAAAGCCATAGAAACACAAGAGCATTTTCGAAAATCAAAGGATTTTGGTCGTTTCCGATAAGCCCACAGCAAAGAGACACATGCCCAAATGCATTTTAGGGGGCTGGAAAAATGCATTCGGATAGCTTTCCTTGCAAATTTGGAGCAGATCTTTTGGCTGCTTCCGACAAGCCCACAGCAAAGAGACACATGCCCAAATGCATTTTGTTCCAATTTCGGCATTATGTTCCAAAGCTGGAACATTCGGACTGCACAGGCTAGAAAACCCAGCGTGGATGGTACGAATGTCGGGCCATGGAAGATATGGACATCATGCTTGGAAGTGGGAGGGCACCTCTGGGGGGGGAAACAACCTAACCTAGCACTAACCTAAACCCTAAGCCCAGCTTCCCCTGATTAGGGGACGGAAAAAATATAAAACTAAACGCTGGGCCCTAAACCCGACCTAGCCCGCTTTCCCCTAAAATTTGGGGAGCAAGGCCCTAAACCCTATGCCGGATTTCCCCTGCAAAATTGGGGACCTCGGCGAAACCCTACGCCTGGTCTCCCCCTTCAGGGGGCCTAGTCAGGTATGTCCTAAACCCGAAACCAAGCCCTGAAACGAAACCACACCCACACGCAAACCGCAACCAACACAAACACGCCTATATACAGAAGCATGGGGAGGCTTCAGTGCTCGAGTGGGGTCATACCACTGACTAGCGATATGGTCGTGGGGTCCCCGTACACGCATGTCTCTGCAGTACTGGAGTGGCCGTAGTAATCAGCTCACAAAGGTCCACTGTGCAAAGGCTTTCGGCAGACGTAGACAGTCATCCACGGCATGCTGCTGAGAACTTTCTTCTTTTCTTGCGGAGAAAAGGCTGTGGAGATGATGCACCGATGGCAGGTGCGACTAGTGTTCTTCCCATGGAACTGCTACGTGGAGTTTCTGCACTATACCCGCTAGCATGTCTACAAGGCACATTTCGTCGAAGATTCCTAGTCATCACACTGCCGTCCACCGTCCACACAGGGGGGATGCCGACCCCGTCTGTCAGGGGTTCTATAGATGAGTGACGAGCTTTGCTACGCACTGGCCAGCTCGCAGTGCGGCCTTATGCTCGCCGATCTTCTCCTCAACCTTTTTGCGCGCGAGGAACTCCATGAAGTCGCTCGAGCCGAGGTCATCAAACTTCTGCTGGAGGGCATTGATCTGCTGGACCAGCGTCTCCAAGGCTTTTTTCCCGCTCTCCCGGTCAAAGTGCTTGACCTGCCGTGCCAACTCCTTGGCCTCCGTCCAGTACTCCTCGGCGATCTGAGCCTTCTTGGCCTTGCGTTTCTTGGGGGAAGGGGTGAAGTCCATAGCGATCGCTGGAACCTTCGCGGTGTAGGCGCCGCTGGAGCTGGCTCGCTTCTTCGCTGTGGCTTCCGCCCTCTCGACGAGGCATGCGGTGAAGAACGACACGACATGCTTGGGAGCCGTGGGGTTGTTCATCAGAGCTTCCTTCGCTCCCTTGACGGCCTCCGATACGGTGACATCCTTCAGCCCGGCTGCAGCTTTGCCCTCGACGACGAGGGCTGCGGATTCCAGCAAGGCATTCAAGCCCACCAGGGTCGTGCCAGTCCTCCAGGGATGGAATTGAACCTCAGAGCCCATCTCTACTGCAAGCAAGATACTAGTGCCCCCTTGCTGAAACCGTCTCCTGGTGTACCCTGCCGCGAAGAAGTGCCACTCATCCAAGATCTTCCGCGCAAACTTCAGGACCGTCTTCACTGCTTGCTCCACCGTCTCCTGGGACCTCTCCAAGGTGGGATAGTCCGCCAGGTTCAGAAGCTCCACATGAGAGGTCAAGTCGAAGGAGCTCCAGAGGTCCTCAAAGTTATTCACGAGCTTTGCGCCGAAGAAGCCTGAAGCCAGGCCTTCCTGCAAGTTCTTCCGCAGGCCCAATAAGGATCCGCGAGCATACTCACGCCAATGGCCGGCCTGTTAATGAGCTCGCTGCGATCCGGCCGCAAATGCTCCTCGGCGAACAAGGCCTGTCTCGGGCTTCTGAATGCCGAGTACACCGGCATTCGTCTGTCCTTCGTCGTTCTGCACGACAGCGCCGAGATTGCGAGCCAGCGACTTATGCAGGGGCATATGAAGATCCCAGAGTCGATCGCCTTGCTTCTACTGGCGCGGGCCGGCGGCACGCGCTCCTGCTCCCGTGGTCTTCGGCGTGACGAACCTGACGCTGGCTTGGAGCGAGTGAGAGAGAGGCGGGAAGGCGGCAGAGAAATCTGATCCAAGAGCACTGGCCAGCGGCGTGGTTTCAGGAGTCTGCAGATTCCCCAATCCTCATGCTTCTTCGACCCTGGCTGCCTACTCGGCTATCCGGACGCTCTAGCGTCGTGCACTTCGAAGGTTTTTTTGTCGCAGGTCCTGACCGCTCCCGCTGCCGTGTCGCAGCGCCCATCGCCGCTGCGCCGGCAGCTGGCTCGCACCTCCTGTGCTGACACAAGAAAGGTCTAGCCCCTCCTGGGAGAAAGCCGTCTTCCTGCACGAGAAGAACCCTGTCCTGGAGGAAGACTTGTCAAGGTCTGACAATCCAGAAATTGCAAATTCCTTTTTTGCCACAGTTTCTATCTCAGGTCCTATCGCAATGCTGGAGGGGTCCTAGCAGTTCCAGTTTTTCTCTCTCTGCAATACTGGAAGGGTCGCAATAATTACAGCTTCTTCCTCTGCAAGACTGGAACGGTTGGAGTAATTGCAGTTTCTCTCTCTTTGCAACACTGGAACGGTCGTGGTAATTGCAATTCCCCTCTGTTTGCAATAATGGAGCGGTCGTATTGATTGCAGTTTCTTGCTGTTTGCAATATTGGAGCGGTCGCAGCAGTTGTGGTTTCTCTTTCTCTGCAATACTGGTGCGGTCGCAGTAATTGCAATTCCTATCTCTCTGCAATACAGGTTCCAACTTTCCCTTTGGCGGGCTTCTGACCCTGTTCCAACTTTAGCCTCCGAGATCAAAGTTGGAAATTTTGGCTTGGGGTCAAGTTGCTCCTGTGGACACGCTTCAACTTTCCGACTTCCACCATAATTAGGTTGTTTGCTATTTTCAATGGTTTTGAACTAAAAAGACAAAGGTGCTTTTGCTATTTTCAATGGTTTTCAATTGTAAACAGCAGAAAAGCCAATTGGTTTTCCACTATTTGCAATTGTTTTCTGTTGCAAATACCAAAAAACCATAGTAATAGAATCGTTTCTGGTTCATAACAATCCAAGACCACGAAAGCAATGCCAAAAATCGAGATCAGATTGGTGCCTGGACACTGACCACAAGTGCATAAGCATCCGTGACAAGCCAGATGCGTTTTTCAGGGCTGGAAAAATGCATTTGCCTGTGGCTTTCTACCGACGGCTAAGTTGCGCTCTGTCGGTTTCGCGGAATCTAAGGCTTTGTGCGATATTTATCAAGGAAAGCCATAAACACAAGAGCGTTTTCGAAAATCAAAGGAGCATTTTGGTCGTTTCCGACAAGCCCACAGCAAAGAGACACATGCCCAAATGCATTTTACGGGGGTTGAAAAACGCATTCGGATAGCTTTCCTTGCAAATTTAGAGCAGATCTCGTGCTGTGTCGAAGCAAAAGAGGAGGCAATGTGTCCTTCAAAGCACATCCAAATGCGTGTATCGAAGCAGCTAAAATCATGGTTTTCAATCGCAAATACAGAGAAACACATAAGTTTTCATTCTCTGCAGAGCACTCGGACCCTTTTTCATTTCATGGGCGAGGCCCATAGTGCATTGGAATCCTCGACTCGAGGTCTGCCTCTGATCGGATCGGCATCTGCCGATATCTCAGGGACGAACCCGTCCAACGTATCCCACCGATCTCCCGCAGAATCCCGCTCACCGGGAACTCGAAGGGTAAGACTCGTCCTCCGTACATGTACACAGTACCTCGTACGACTCGACGTAACTCCCGGCATACTATGCCTCTCCGCAACTAGGGAGCTCTCCGAAGAGTACACCGGCGAACTCGCTCCTCTGGTGCAGATAATTTCTAGGGAGGGCTGAGCCCTGTATTAAGGGAGGGTAGGGTGGGATGAAAAAAAAAAAGGAAACTCCTGCGACTCAGGTGATCCAGTGTTCTGTTGGCTATTTTGGCTTGAGAGGAAACGGCGGCGGATGCACATGTATGCTCAAGCGACAACATGTGCAGCACAATCCAAAATGCACTCAGATAATGATTTCAACTCACCAAGCCTGCCCGAAGCACTAAGTTGGACAACATTCTCTGCAGAGCACTCGGACCCTTTTTCATTTCATGGGCGAGGCCCATAGTGCATTGGAATCCTCGACTCGAGGTCTGCCTCTGATCGGATCGGCATCTGCCGATATCTCAGGGACGAACCCGTCCAACGTATCCCAAAGCACTACACCCAATGCACTATCATCCTGCCAGAAAGGCAAGGACAAGCGACTTGACAGAGAAAGGCAGCTGCCAGAGGATGCAAGGGATGTCGCTGGTGTACGCCGAGAATCCTCGTCTTCGGTGCCAGGGGTCCCTATGGCCTTCACGAGAAATGGCGTCGGCCCAGTTGGATTTCGATGGGACCCACTCGAACCAAATGTTTGCCTTCAAATGGAACAGCAGCAGATGCACGCTATGTGCGATGGTGTCCAATTCCTTGGAATCACTGCGCCCTCTGACCAATGCCATGAGCGACGCCACATTGTCCACAAACCACACGCCAGTGGTATTGCGGAATAGGGCAGCGAAGCAAAGTAAACCTTGGAACACCATCAACAACTCGAGTTGCGCGATTTTAGTCTCGCACTCGTCCCAGAGCCCGAACACGTCGTCGCTGATGCGGGGGACAGTACCAACTCGTAGCCCTTGGGGAGAAACCACTAAGAGTCCTCCTGAGCCAACCCTGTAACCGTCTTGAGCCGCATCGCTCGCAGCAATGATCCGGCTACCCCGGCCCGGAAACACGGGAACAACTCGGCTGGGCTTCATGGCTATGATGGCCTCGATAATATCGAAAGACCGGAGGAGCTCTGGGGTGAGGGAGGACTCAGTCTTGCAGTACTGTCGCTCCTTGATGGGGTTCAAACCTGCCCTGGCAACACGGCCAAACGCGCCGTAATCAAGGAATCCCAAGCACCCGAAAAGCTTCGCTGCTGTGCCAGAGCGCAGGACCTGAGCGTTACGCGCTGAGGCGATGATGTCGGAGATCTTATCCACGAGCCGCTGGCGCACCCAAACTGTAATGGTGCCGGAACGCTGGATTTCAGAAAGGTCGTGGAGAAGGCCGAGGAAATCTCCGCTTGCCTGGGGAGTCTGGCGCTTGGCTTCGGCGAAAGGGTAGCCGAAAAGACGGAACATTTCTTCCACCAGTTCCTGACTGCGGGGGGCCAGCGATGCGAAATCCTGGCACGTGGCGTCATCGAAGTAGCAGGAAATAAGAAGAAACAGCAATCGCCGCGCCACCGTTTGAAGAAAGAACGGGAGGCGATTAAAAGCAGACACGGCCAATGGAAGGCCGAACAACATACCCAGGTATCTGCGGAACCTGGGTTGGTCACGATGAGGATCGAAGAAAGCAACTATGCAGGCCCAAGTGTGGGCAGGAATCATCGCAATCTTGCGGTATGCATAAGGCAGGTCTTCGCCAAAGGTGGCGAGCTTGAACAAGAAGGACTCGAGGTCAACTCCTCGTTTCGCCAACTCCTTGGCCAATGCCTGGACATGAAAGCAGGGTTGCAAGGCACTGCAGAACTGCAAGCGATTACCGTCAGAACTGAACTCACTTTGCTTACCTTGCTGCGCATCGTAGACGACTGCGTAATGACGAACCGGCGAATGAGGCGAAAGGGGCGGTGGAAGCCTTGGAGCTCTTCCCAGCCCATACTGGGCCGACAGAACCCGAGGGATTCGTCCTCGTCTCCGGCTTCACACGCCACCGCGGCGTCAGCTCCAGGCTTGAGGTGGTTGAGCATCTCGAGGGCGTCAACTCGCCCGTCCGCCAGGCAGTCCTCAAGTGTGACCTGGCTTGTAGGGCGCGACTGCCAGATGCCACATGGGTCAACTCGGCCGACAGCCGGAAACCCACCCATCAGACCTTTCCAAAAGGTGGTATCAGGCCAAGCTAAAGCCACCGTGAGTACCGCGAACAACGCGAGGTGAACTTCAGGATTGACCTGCCGAACCTCTGGGTGCTGGAGCTTGCGTGCTTGTGCTGTCGCGTCCTCAAGCCTCCGCGCCAACTCACGAAGAAAGTCCATTGAATTTTCTCTGTCAGCTTGAATCCTGTCGACACCGGAAGCCATCCGGTACGCTGCAAAGGAGATGTCAGGTTCGACGACCGTGTCCCAATCGAGGGGGCATCCTTCGACTTGACAGCGCAGTGCTGCCTCGAAGTGTTCGTCGGGAGACATCCCGAACGGAATGACAGGCGGTATAGCGCGGATGCTTTGTTAACAGCAGTGGACTGCGTCGCTGAGCTGGCTCGCTGGGCCATGGTGCACGCAACTCCGTGCAACCCGGGCCCCAGAGGCCCGTGTGGAGACCGTCCGTTCTCCTGAAGCCAGGCGGGGTACGCCTTGAGTAACGGGGAATTGATGAGGTCTGCCAGGTAGGGCCAACGCAATTTCGGGCCTAGTGGTCCCAGCAGGACATTCTGAGCAGCAGATGCAATGGATGCCTGAGAAATGGGGTAGTCAACGGATGCCGGGATAGGCGTCCCTGCCGCCACGGCAAAGCGAAACCTGCGGGCTTTCCGAACATGCTGGTTGGGTCGAGTGCCACCCGGGGGCATAGCAAACGTAGCTATCAAGACATCCCCGTGGCATGTGTCCCACAAGGCACAGTCGCACGCCAGGCGCTTTCCCGCCAGCTCGTGCACGCGGTGGAGCAACCCTGACTCAGGCAACCAACCTGCATAAGAGTACACCGTTTGCTCTGGGGTACCGTCTCTCCCAGTGTGGAAGGGGTTCTCCCAACATGTTGTCGGTTCCCTGTGGGAGAAATGGCTGTGGCCGATGTACACCACATCCGGCGGGAGAGGAGTTTGGGGCTGCTGGATGTCTTTGATACACACTCGTGTGGGAGTGCCATCGCCAGATGGGAGGCCTGCAAACGCTGCAACTCGGTG